TATAGGAATAATGGGAAGATTAAATTTAAAGTCATAATTGAAGTTAAAATCAGGATCATTGGCATTAAAAAATTAGAATATTTGTATATTTGAAATCTTTCATCATCATCAATCTAAGAAATTGCTGTACCTTTTTGCAAAATAATAAAACAATAATTGTTATCAATTACTTATTATGATAATAACAAAAAAACTCACATAGGAAACATAAAAAAATAAAAGTAAACTGAAAATAAGGGAAAATAAATAAAATATGAAATATGAATGAAATTAGATGAAAGAAATTGATAAATAAAGGGAATAACTTCTATTAGATACAGAAAGCATAATATACTGTATATATAATAGTTGTAATATTTGCAATCATATTTATTGTTTAAATGTAATGGTGTGAATTATAAATGTCTCCACAACCTTTGAAATAATTTTATAAAAATTCAATGCATGAGAAATAGTAATTACTATTAATCTAAATGATAAAAAGGGTAAAAAGACTATTTCATATGGAAATTAAAGATAACCATGATATGAGTTGTAACTGTGTGATAGTTAAAGGATGGCAAATATTGGTATTAGCCTAAATTTTGGCCATATGCATATTTATCTAACCACATGTTTTTTTCATTCAAACAGCTAATTCCAACTGTCTAACATGAATTTGGTAGTCATATAGAATATAGAGTTTTTGAATTGCAGAACAGAATATAGCAAACTTCAATTCTGTTTTGTCACAGTATTATTGAAAGTTATCAGTACTAACTAAAAAATTCTGAAAGTTTATTTTACCAGATTGTTGGTTGCCTTACAAGTTTCATTTCTTGATGAAAGCAAAGATAATCATGATGCAATTTGTAATGATTCAAGATGGCAAGTGTTAGCATTGTGTTTTGAGATTCTGGTTATTGCATGATTATTTTTTTTCCAAAAAAAAAAAAATTTCTTTCCAAATGTAGAATGATGCATTGTCACAATAGGTTAGGTTTTTTTACCAGGTTGTTCACTATTTTATTGTCAAATTTTCCTTGATCATTATCCTCAATTTCATATTTTGATAATTGCAATATTAAACTTGGAAGAACTGCTGTTGAAGATATTGTTAATCGTATGCAGAGATTTCCATTACATGTAAAAAAAATGGTTGTGCGGAACACTGTAACTTTCTATGTGGTGAAATCCAAAAAGGACGGCGTTTTTGAGGGAGTTTTCATTTTTATAAATGCTACGTGATGCTAACCTAATCCTTAGCTCTGACGTGTCATCGCTTTTTTGGTATAATTTGACTTTGTGTTAAATATATAGCCAAAATCCACATAAACTAGTATTTTATTTTTTGGAATTATAATATTTGGTTTTATTTTATACTGTCAGGTAACTTTTGTATTCCATAGCAAATTGTATTTGATTGTTAAAAAGTATAATATGTATAAGATAAATTTTTGTTGTAAGGTAGTAATTATGTCTGTTAGGTAAGTTAGAATTAAAATTTTAATTCTATTCTTGTATAAAATATTTTTTAACTTATTGAGAGACAAAAAAAATTAAAGTATTATAAGTTTTATTGACATAAAAATAAATGTTTCCATCTTTATCAAAGCTGATTTATTTAATAATTATATTGTTTTCATAATTTTATTTAGACATTGTAACAAAGAAGAATTTTAAATTTTTAAAATGAAATGAATGAAATAAACCAGGTTTAAATAACATAAGATAATGTAGTCTATAATATCCTTATTTAAAAAATTTTGTGATGCTTAACTGTATTATAATACATAACAATAATATGATTGGTGCTATTAAATGTTACATAATAATATACTGTATATATATGTCTAATTATGGCTAGGGATGGCAACGGTCGGTTATAGTCGGTTATGGTCGGTTATAATCAGTTATAGAAATTTAAACAGTCGGTTATGGTCGGTTAAAAAATCGGTTAAACGGTCGGTTAAACGGTCAGTTAAACGGTCGGTTATACCATTTTACTTAAATAATTAGTCAAATGGTCGGTTAAACGGTTAAAAATGGTCGGTCAAATGTTTAAATGGTCGGTCAAATGGTCAGTTAAATGTGGTTAAACGGTCAGTTAAACGGTTATGATTATAACCGTTGCCATCCCTAATTATGGCTAATAAGTTATTCTTGTATAATAAAATTTCATATGATTAGATTAACTGATAATATAATGTTGAGTACTTAAATTATTGACTATTAATAAATATCATTAAATAACAGAATGCATTAAAATCCAAACATGCTTAGTACCAATTTAATGTTTAATAGGAATGAAATTGTATGTAGAAGCAATATTCATTTACAAATAAAAAATTTATATATTGGAAACATGTTTATAAATTTAATAAATTTTAAAATAAGACAAATGAGACAAAGCCATATTTTAAACAAATAAAGTTATGTAGTCTCACTAATTGTGTAAAGAATATTCTTATTTAGAAATTTTTGTGTGAGGCTTATCTGTATAATGCACATTGATAATATGATTGGCTATTAAATATTATATGTATCCAATTATGACTGATAAGATATTCTAGTGTACTTAATGTTTAACAGAGAATTGTAAGAGCTTACAAATAAAAACTTGCTAATTATATATTAAAAGCATTTTGTAACACCAACTAAAATTTAGTTACAAATGTTAGTATAAAGGTTAATTAAATCTATGGATATTAGGTCATTTTCTGTGTATAATTATATATTATTATTTTCTACTTGATTGTTTTAAGTACCAATTTAATGTACTCTATTCTGCACAACCCTTTATTTAACCTTTTAAGGTCCATAAGGTCAATTACCTTTCTGTTCACCATTACTTAATATTCATTGATATTTGCCCTGTAAAAAAAAATCGATCCGTTTTTTATATTCCGTCTTTTTTCCGTAAGAGGCTCATATTTCCGTAATTAATAACCTAATATCCGGAATTTATCGAATTATTTACATTTTCCGTGAATGGATCCGTGAAAGGCTCATTTTTTATGGAGTTTTTACAGAAATAACGGATAAAAATTTTTTATAGAGTTGAAGCAATTTGCAATACAAAGTTAATAACTATTTACACATTCTATTACTGTATTCAAATCAAAAACATTTTAAAATGTTTATATAATATAGTGATAGGCTTATAAAAATAGTATATTGTGCACATACTGTAAGATATTTTTGTTTTTTCTGACAAATCTTCGTCTGATGAAATTAAAAATTTTTATCATTACCATTTATAGCACTAACAGTTCAAACAAATGACAAAAAAATTATTTATTTCATAATAATAATGTCGAAAAGCTTTAACCAATAACAAAGGCTTACATTTATAAAGATAAAAGCTAAATTTAACATCATGTTAGTTGGGTTAAAAAATTTGTCACGTGTCACACCCTTCCATTCTTCCATTCTTCATTTTCACCGCCTACTCTGGGAACTTTTCTTTTTTGCTATAAAAACGCTATTCACAATTGTCACATGGTATAAGGCAATTATATATATAAAAACATTTGTTTAAAATCACTAATTAATAAAATAAATATCCAAACTACTTTAAATTATAAACTATAATCTAATGATCCTTAATAGCAGGTTCATACTCATTATAAATAGCTAATTTTATATTTAATAGCTTTTCCAACATCATTGCCATCATAATGTAATTTTCCAGCATTATACATTGCTACCTTAAAACCATTATCTCGAAATATTTAAGGGCTTCCGGCAAATTCTTTTCAACACCTTTACCATTATAAGCGATATCTTTAATTTTACTTCTGGAAATTCATTTGCTTCATTCCTTTATATAATCCAGTAACAATTTTATCATGTCACTATTTCGTTATGACTATCAACCATTTTATGTTGATTTGCTGCTTTAGCGATTGCCATACATTTGAATGATTCGTAATCTGGTAAATTTTTAATAGCATACTCGTCTTGTTTTTATAATAATTTCTGGATTTGAAATGGGTTCAGACAGTAAAATATTAAAATTTGATGCCGATTTGGAGGTTTTTATTGTGTTATATTGGAAATAGAGACATGTATCTTCTATTTTTTTTTAATTAAAAGCAAAAAGAAAATTTTATGGAGAACGATATTCTCAATTTGACTTTTAAAATATCCACATATATTTTTTTAAAAAAAATTATTTCAAAGTATCAAAAAAAGTAAAATTTATAAATATTAGTATATTACTATGATGCATTATATCATTTTCATATGGACATATGATCTTTGACGTTTACAATATTTCGGTGATATTCTAATATCTTTAATCAATTACATAATTTATCTGACCTTATTTAGTAATTCGATAGTAAAAAATCAACATTTTCGCCTGTTCATTTCCGGTCGGATGCATTTTCGGTCGGATTTTGTTGTACAAAAATTATCCAATAAAATTTTTTTATTTTCGATCGCAAATTGAACTGCTTTAGAATGAAATTTAGTTCGAACTCCTTATATTGATATATATTTTTTTCTTAAATGTCACGTAAACAGAAATTATCTAATTTTGGTTGGTTATTTTTTGGCGTTCGACCAAAAAAACCCCAAAAAAAATTGGGTCAGAAAATGGTTGCGTTGTACAAACTGATCAGCCCAATCAAAATTCTTAAATCTGACCGAAAAATGCGACCGACCGGAAATGAACAGGGCTAATATTTTTATTTCATTGTTAAAAATTGTTAAAATTGTCTTAATCGTTTGGCTTGATAAATTATATAATAATAATCGGTGTATGAAAGAACAAATTATGATCGATGATCGATATAATATTAATCAAGTCACAAGTTCACATCCGTATTCATATAAAGTAGTTAAAAATATTTTTCAACAACTTGATCAATTGATCAAACACTGATTTTGGGTCATTATCTTAAATTTAACAATATTTTACGTTTCTTGTTTAAAATAATTTATTTAATATTTGTTGTACTTACAAACAGTATATATAATACAGAGTTTTCAATTGCCTTTTGATTAAATATAAAATAAAGTTATTTAATTTATCTTCTGATTAGTAAACGCACTTCATTCGCATTATTCATATTTATAAGTAATAAATTGTAATTTACCTATTTTAAATTACAGACAATCCATCAATTACAGACAATCCATAAGTTACAGCTCCACGTGCAACTGTTGCAGTGGGTAGAGTGAGAACTAAAATTTCATTTACTCGATGACCAAATTCTTCTTTAATCCTATTTTGTAAATATTTGTTTTCACTAAATTCTCCAATTAAACACACTGTCGAACGATTTTCTTGAATGTTTGAAATTTGTATATGTATCAAACGGATAATTTTATCAATAACAGGATCAAACATTTTTTTTATGTCATTATATTCAATGTCAATAATCCATTGATTATCTTCCATGATTTTCCTAGTTTCTTCACTGACGTATCTTATTAAATTTGGTGCAGTATCTTCAATATCAACCACATAAGAAAATTCGGGATCACCTCCTGTGAAGGGTTCTTTCGCATGTTGACAAAATTTTTGGACCATATATTGTAATTGACCATTATAGTTTTCTTTTAATTGATCTATGGCACAAGTTCCAAATCTTTCACGTAAAAATCTCATAAACTCTTTATCAATAAATGCACTTCCACAGTACTCTCCAATGCGTGCGGTAACTTCACCTAATCGATCATTTCCAATCAATGTACGAATAGTTATTTCTACAATATTTTTATCACAGTCAACGATCATTATTGTCCCTAAAAATATATTGTAAATGAAAATTAATAAATATTTCCTCTTTGAATAAAGTTACAAATAGTCAAACTTACCTCCCACATTAGGTGATATATTTTTCACCAAATATAATGCTGCGGCTTCAGCTGCAAATATAGAAAAATGAATTAAAATAATTAATGAAGGATATTGTTCTAAAACTCCACTTACATTCTGTAATAAATTGCAACTTTATTGAGTCTCTTTCTTTAACGAGATTTGCGTGAAATACACATTCTTCCATAATAGCCATTTCTTTTGGTGTATATTTTTTTGCAGGGACAGCAATAACTAATAATACATTTTCAAAATAATTAGCTGTAGGCCAGCAGCATTCAATTCTTTCTTTAATGACCTATAAAATTCAAATAATTAGTAAATAATTTAAAGATTAATAATAAAACAATATTATAATTTCGATACATACCTTTCCAATTTCTCTAAGAAAATCGGTAATAGCTTTTTTATAATCAATTGGAAGTATCGTCATTGAATCATCATGTTGGCCCAGACACAATTTAACTGGAGGATTTTCCTTACTATTTTGTCTTCGTTTTGGTTTTTTAGCCAAAGCTGGGGCACCCCAATAAACCACATTATTAAATTCTTCATCATATTGAAGAACTGTATTGGTTTTAAGTCGGATCGTATCCCCAGGCCACATATCATTTGAACATATCTCTTTACTATTAGCAACATGACAATAAGAGAATCCGGAGTATTTTATTCCAAAGTCTAGCCCAACCACGACTTTAATATTGGAATAAGATATTTTTGTATCTTTTTCCAAGCCTAAAATGTAAAAATGAAATTAATGCAACTTTTAATTAATATAAATAAATCTCTAAAACATTCGTTATCACATACCTTTATTACTGTTTATTGTAAAATTATTGTTAATATTATAACTTTCATTTTCTTTAAAAATATTTATATCATTTTCGTCTACTTCCAATATCATTAAATTTTTTTCCAAATTTTCTGAAATTATTTCAAGTCGTTGAATTTCTTCATTTTTTTGATTTTCTAAATTTAGAACATATTGTTGAAGTTTTTCAAATTCCTCAAGCTTTTCTTTTAAATCACAATTTATTCGTAAAATTTTTTTATTTTCTTCAATTAAACTTGAATTTTTACGTAAAACTTCTTGATGTTTTTCGTTTAAATCTGAATACATAAGTTTGATAATTTGAAATCGGTTTTCCAAATTTGAATTAATACGTAAGATTTCTTGTTTTTGATCTTTTAAGTCTGAATTAATTCCTAAGATTTTTTCTTTTTCCTTTCTTAAATTTAAATTAATAAGTAAGATTTCTTGATTTTGATCTTTTAAGTCTGAATTATTACGTAAGATTTCTTGATTTTTTTCTTTTAAATCTGAATTAATAAATAAGATTTCTTGATTTTTTTCTTGTAGAATTTTATATTGTTGTTTAATCTTTTGATGTTCTTCTAATAAATTAACAAATTTATTATTTAACTTATTAAACCCAATTTCAAGTTTTCCAACAACTTCATGATGCTTATCAGGGAGTAAAGTTTTAGAATTTGAGCGTTCATTAGTCATGGTGTCATTTTATTCAATTTAAAAATTTTGAAGTTGAAAATCCAAATTAGACTTTTTTAGCGTGAGCGACAATATTTATACCGAAAGTGGTTGCACAAATTTCCAAAATGTACAGTATAGTATCACATTATTATATTTAAACAAAACAGGTCGCATCACACATCAAAGATTTATTTTACTTATTTATGAAAAGTTAAACTAACAAATAAAAAAAAATAAAAAAAAATTTTAGTAAGTCTATATATATATAAAAAAAAAAAATCAGTCTTGTTGCGGAATCGGAAGACAATGTGGGTATCTTGCGAGTCGTGATCAGCTGTTTAAAGTTTTCTTTTTAGACGAATGTTCGTCTTCAAGAGCAGCTTCCAAGTGCATTAAACGTTTGGTAGTTGTAAAAATCGTTAATCCTGGTCGGAGATGGAAAATTCCATGTTCTTAGAAGTAGTAACCGTAACATTGTCGACGATGACTGAATACCGTAAAGTCCCGAATATAAGTAACCTTTTTTTGCCTATTTCAGCCAAAGTAGCCAAAGTCCTTATAAAAAAAACTATAATATCCCCTTAAAAAAATATTACAAACTGTATCTCCGCCATGGTCCTTTATAATGAAAAATGAATCTGGCCAAAATCATTATCATTCAGGCCAGGGTGTTCATTTTCCGGAGTTGGACTTTACGGTATTTGTATTTATTAGTGATATAATTATACCAGGAGCGTCGAGCGTCCACTTTATAGAGGTGGCCAACACTTGTATGTATAACGCTTTCATTACCAGATTGATATTATGAGTCTAAATAATAAAACCGAAGGTCACTTTTAATATCGGGTGATAAAGGAGGTAATTCCAATTTATATTTCTTTTCGTTTTTCTTAAACCTTCGTATATAATTTTTGAGCGCTTTTTTCTTTCATTTTTCTTCCGAAGAAATAGGTGATCGTAAATGTTGAGTAAATTTATAAGAAAAGGCAAATGTTGAATAACTTTAATGGACTGGTATGTGGGTTTTCAGTACCAGACTTATAGACATCTCCCGATTTTCGAAGTTGCATACGGGTAAGCATGTTCAATTTGTCGAGGTGATCTTACGATGCTTGTCAAACTTGAGTTTAGAGTATTCCTTGTAATAAATTTTATGATCTTGAGGAGTAGACGCAAGGCTGATTTATAAATGATCCAATATAGAACAAGATAAAATTTTTATTTTGGATCATTATACTAATGATTATGATGATAAAAAATAATAAGTGAAAACTTGGGCACGTACATTGCAATAATTAATAAATATTTTGTATAATCTAAAGAAAAAATCATTAACCACTTTTTTTATTTAGACAAATACATAATCAAAGATTTAGGAATAAACTAATAAATTTATTTAAAGGTATTGGCCAGTTTCAACAAAGAAATAATTAAACCAATTTTGAGGGCTTTAAGATATTCAGAATCAATATGTTTAATCAAAAACGATATTCTACATAAATTCATTTTTATTGACATAGTTTATTAGCAGATTATTTTCATCTCAAAATTATCCATTATACTGTATATAAAACCCTTCTTAATCGGTTATTCTTCACACACCTTAATTTCAGTTGAATATTAAGCAATCTATATATAACACTTTTTTTTTTGATCTTATTTTCATATAATTGTTTCGTTAATTTAAAAGTAAATACTTTTTTACTTTTTAGATCACGTTACTTCCGATCACGGCGCGATCCATAAAATCAATATTTTTTTAAAAAATCAAAAATCTTAATAATCAATCGAGTCCTGGGATTACTTGCAATTTTTTTTCTTTGTATAATTTATATAAATAATGAGATGAAATTCTATACTTAGCACTATAAATGAATTTACGATCTTTAATTAAAATAAAAACTAGGAACGGAAGTTTTTACAAGTTTCATTGTTATACATCGCCACGTGCCATACGAACGTGTAATTTTGTTTTATTCAATGTAACTAATATTCTATTTAAAAAATTAGAATAAATTCGAAGTGTATATTCCACATTTTCTCAAGCAGGAATTACATTTTATATTATACCTTTTGTTTTAGTTTTTATCTTACTTTATAGCTAAAATAATTTATTAGTCTATAATATTTTGCGTAGAAATATATAGTCCCTTCGTTACACTTCGGACTAATTACACTTTTAATCACGGCGAACATGAGAACTTTTTCGAGATTAAGTAATTTTGGACCTATAACGGATATCGGCAAGTGAGGTAAAAAAATAAGCAATGCTTTTTTTTCACTACGATTCATTTTTACAAAATCCAGTAAGAATTCGTCACGTAAAAATGCTTACATAAAGTTGACGTAGCCTCCTACGCCTGATCTAGGTAAATAATTAATACTTATTTTCCGTTATTTAGAAAATACAGCAAACATGAATAAGACATTATTGAACCAACAAAAATACCAAAACCTCTTTCAAGTGAAGAAGAAGTTGACTCAGGAAATCGAAAGACTAATGATAATACGGAAGAAAACTCAATTTTATAACTAATTATTTATTTATTGTATTCTGAAAAATCGCGATGATTTAGTTCGCATGATTTTAATTCAGCTTCTTTACGTTTATGAAAATAAAAAGGGTAGTTTTACTAAATTATTTCCCTCGCTAATGCAAGCAGTAAATATTTACACATCGCACAAACATATAATTTATGTCATTTTGATATTTCTACTCAAAATGGGCAAAATAATTAATCCAAACGTTAAAACTACTAAAATGACATTATTGATATTATTATTGACGGAATAATTTGAACCAATATTATGCGATATGAATTCTTTATTACTTGTATTAACAATAAAAAATCATGAATAGTAAACGATATATAAATAAAATATTCCAATCAAATATATCGTAAATTTTACTTCATTATTATTAAGAGATTTATCATTTATAATTTCTTTCTTCTAAAAAGTTTATAAAACGATTGATAGGTCATACGTAGCAATAGCTGAAGAATATTCATGATGATATTATTAAATAAACATAAATTTATTCACGACTAAATTCTATAAGAACTGATTTAAATGTAAACCACGCCGGTTATCTTCACGTTAATCACCACAATTTTTCCGACTTTAACAAAAGAACAAACAAAAGCCAAAATGAAATTAATTTAAGTATGTCAGAAATACAAATTTAGGTTTTATAATACTATAAAGCTATGTTTAAAGCTAAATGCACTCGATTTTAAGTAGAATTCATGGTTAAATAATTTTTTTGCAAAGAAAACCAATAAAATCTATATCGGAAACTTTAAATTACTAATTACTTTCCGAATAAATAAGTATTGTAGAGGACGACTTTATCTAATGATACTATTAATTTCGGGGCGCAGTATTATAATTGATTTGGGTGTTTTGTTTTAAATTTACTGCGGTACGGAATTGACCTTTAAACTACCACTTTAGTGACCTTTGAGGTCTGAAATGATGTTAAAATAGTATGATTAATTTTATTGGGCAATTGATTATATCAAGTTGGGGGAATGATCTGGGACACATGAGGGGAACGCCGGAACGATACATTTAGACTATGTAATCCGGAATAACCTTAGATCAATTAGAAAAATTAATTTTTATAATTTTAGAAGCTTTTGTTACCATATTTTTTTGAATTATTAATCACCCCATTTAGTTCGAAAAAGGAAACTTTTAATTTTATTGGTTATTTCATTTAGGATTTGAAAGTAATTCTAATTAACATAACTTAGGAATTATTTTCTATCTTGAATTTTTCATTTTATTATTAATTTTTATTATTTCATCTTTTGAACTTGGGAAAATATATTTTATCTACTAATAAATAAAATATTCCTATTACACACCTATTGGTGGCAGTGATTTAATAGATCATGCACGTAAAAGTGCGGGTAGGTCCCCACAGTATTATCGTTAATCGTTACGTGCTCTATTTATTTGCTGGCCAGCCAATACTATTACCTTTACGGCTTAGTTGATTATCTAGCATCGGGCAGGTATCAGACTCTATACATCCACGCTAATGCGGCACGAGTTCCATTCATTACATTCATTAGCCAAGGTTTTAGTTTTATACAGGTGATCAGTTTTTCCATTCAAGATTTCAAGATTGGAAGTGACGTAAAACTGAAGATATAGAGTTAAATTTCCCCCCTAAAGATTATTTAAACTTTAATTTATTGGAACGATAAAGCAACTGATGTCGGACGCGTAAAAGGATTTTTATTCTGGTACTTTACCGTTGCAGTATTTTCATAATGATCTAAGCGCAGATAAATTACATGAATTAATCAGGTACTGACGTGTATATATGGGCTAATCCGAAATATAAAGCGTAATCCTAAATTTGAACCAAAGAGGAAACACAAGATGAATGTTTCGTCGGGCGTTATGAATTATGATTAACAACTTATTTTATCAACTATATTTTGCCCGTTGACGAAGTAGAGAAGTAGAGAGTGAATTAGGGATATTTATAGAGATTGTATTGTGGAATATTTTTTAAAGAACTTAGAATAATTATTTTTTTTACGAAAACGTAAACTGTTAAAGTCTGTCGCAAATTTCAACTGTTGAATAACATAATTCAGGAGATCATTCAAAAGGTATTTATGTCTAGAGAGAAAAAGGAATCGTTAACAATTTGATTCACATCAGTCATTTTCGGGACTATACAGTATTAAAGTTATGAAAAGTGTAGTACTGTATAGCAGGTCAGTAGAACCGCAAAGAATTTCACGATTTTCAAAGTTACATTATCACTAATTTGTATATTTTAATGTATTAGTTCGTTATAAAAAAAATAAAATTAATTTTTGATAGCTGATACACGAGAATCACCCGTCAAATTTTAAATTCTAGGTGTTGTAAATAATTTATTTGAAAACAAAAAAAAAAAAATGTTCTAAATATTTAAAATATATACTAGTTATTATAACTGATGCAATTTTTGATACACATTTCTTTAGCCTTTGGATGATTATTTAAAGCGGCTTTCTTTAAATATTCGGCACCCTGTCTCTTATCTTTTTCTATACCATCACCACCATTCCAATAAGCTTTTCCAATAATATACATGGCAGCAGGATTTCCTTGATTAGCTGCCATCTTTAAATATTTAAAGGCTTCAATAGAATTTATAGCAACACCTTCACCTTTCCATAAACACATTCCATATCTTAATTGAGCTGAAGGATTTCCCTTATCAGCAGTTTCTTTAAATATATCTATAGCGATTCTAATTCTTTCTTCTTTACTAATTCGTTGTAATTCAGGAATTTCCTCATGATAATAATAATATCCTAACCAATATTTTGCTTCAATATCAGTTTCTGAATGATATGAAAAACTTTGCCACGCCAATTGTTTATTTCCTTTCTTGTGTTCATTAATAGCGTCATCAACAGAAAGAATTGTAATCGTGATAGGTGAATTTCTATTATTTTTCGTCGACTTTTTTTCATTCTCTATATATGTTAAAATCTCATCATCAAGAATGTTGGTACTTGCGCCTGAATATTTTTCACTCATCTTATAAAATTCACGACAAATTTCGGAAATATTGATACGCCACTTTGGATCATATTCCATGGCTAAAAAAAAGGAAAGGAATTTAAAAACAGAATTTCAGATGTTAAAAAAGGAGTGATATAAAGTTACCTTTTGTTACGACATGCTCCCATTCAGGTGGTACACTATTTGTAAACGGTAAGCAATATCTTTTCTTTACACGTTCTCTAATATTAATAATTGGTTCTGATTCAAGATCGGAATGAGGTTTTTTTAATTCAGCGATTTCCCATAACAATGCTCCAACGCTAATTTAAAAAAAAGGGCAAATTAAGATTTACAATGAACGATCCTGTGATTTTAAGCTTAAAAAAAAAAAAAAAAAACTTTTTATCTTACCTATAAATCTCACATTTAGAATCGTAAGAAATCTTCCTTTTCTTCGTATCTCCATTATTAGTTATTAATAATTTTTCCGGAGCCATATATCTTATGTTTTCTAGATTTTGCAAAATATTTCTTGTAATGTCAGAAAATTTTCTGCTTAGACCAAAATTTGCTATTTTAACTTTATTATGTCCGTTGACTAGAATATTGGCAGATTGAATATCTCGATGAAGAATCTATATTTTTTAAAAAAATTCATAATTAGACAATACTCTTTTATTAAAAATTATTTAAATTTAACTTACTTCGCATTCGTGAAGATATGCGACACCACGACAAATGTCCAGAGCAAATTTAATTTTGGTTTCCAAATTTATACTATCTTTACACTTCGTATAATATTCATGTAAATTCCCATGCTTCATCCATTCAGTGACCAAATAATATTTATTATCATCGTGAGCTACACCATAAAATCTTATAATATGCTCAGAATCTTTCAATAGTTTGAGAATATTAACTTGTCTTCGAATCTCGATTTGAGTTTCTTCCTGCTTAGTTAAAGTAGCGGAAGAATTATTTGAAAATTCTTTAAAACAAACATCATCACTGTTTTTATATGATGTGCGCTTTTCAATTCTTTTTGAAGGAGAAATACTTGTTTTAGAAAATTCATTACCATCAAGTAATGGTTCGTTTTCTTCCAATTTTGATGAATCAATAACCATTCTTTTTCTGCTTTGTTCTTGAAATTCTATATTTTTTTCAGTTACCAGATTCGTTACATCAAAAAAATTTTGTTGAGATTTTCTATCATCAGGAACGCCATAAGATAATAAAATTTCTTTAATTTGTTGAATTTCATTTTTAACTGTTAACAATTCATCTCTTGATTGTATAGTAAAAGAAAAATTTAGATTTTGCATATATCCATCAAATTCTGTTGCAAGATTAGTAAATTTTTCTTCGATACTATTAGTATATAAATATTTTTGTAGTGTTTTTAATTGACTAACTTCCGCAATAAAACTTTTAATTCCTTCCATACAATTAATAAATCCTAAGAATAAAGTTAAATTTTCTTGTTTAGAAAAAAATTCCACATTTTCCGTTTTCCTAAGATCTAAATCTTCTACGGCAGCCATAGCAAATTTACACCTCTTTAAAAGGAAACCACATAATTCTTTATGTTGTTTGGCTTTTTTATATAATTTTATAATTTCATTTCCTACATTAAGAAATGAACTTATAAGTGGTGCAAATTCCGAGAAATTTTTAGCAACACTGGATGCTCCTCCAACTACAGTTAACATTTTATCTGTTATATCTAACGTAGTATTACATACGTTAAACCCCATTTCCACATTATTCAAATTCATTTTCTTTAATTCATTTGATACACTATTATCATCATGATTTGTTATGCAATAAGTTGAATACGACGGTGAATGACAAGATGGTGAAGGCGAAGGTGAAGGCGAAGGTGATAAGGGTACGAGATAGGAACTTGAATAATCTACATCCTCTACATCCATCGTATCTATAGTCGAATCATCAATTTTAATACGAGGATACTTTGATTCTCTTAAATGGTCATCGTCGTCATCATTAGTTGGACTTTTTTTACTTGAAGTAAAGAAATATTTTCTTTTTGACATAATGTTTGTTCAATTGTAATTTGTAATTTATCTAGAAAAAGTTAAAAAAAAAAAAAAATAATAAATAAAACCGGAAATTCGACTATTTATTAAGAATTTTCGGAGTCACTGAAATAACAGATATTCCTATAATTGGTTCTTTGTGATTGATTAATGATTTTTGTAACGTTTTAGAAGTATAGAAAATTTCCAAAATTTCCAGAAGAAAAATAATAAAAAATCTTTCTATCCTTAAAAGGAAATGATTTAATGAGAAGCACGCGGAGAACATATTCTCGAAGTTCCGAATAGAATACTTATATGGAACAATGATGATTTTCCGTTACCGATATGGTAAAACAAACAAAGCGAAAATTTGTTGTAACCTTTTTAATATTATTATTTATACACCCCGTCTTTTTTTTTTTTTTTATTTCATTTTATTTTTTATTTAACAAATTCTATTGTAAAAAAAAAAAATCGGAGAAATATATTTAATTTTTAATTCTCGGATTTAACATCCCGTAAAAAAACTAAGGCCACACACGCTTCGCATTTGAAGGTATATTAGACATACAGAATTTGGATAATTTAGGCCATTGCTAATATATTACGATAATTCTGGTCTTTGTGCGGCTTTTTTCACGGCTAGAATTATTTTTCGGCCAGTTTATGGGCATGATAAAAATACAGCGCATACTCAAGTAATTATAAGATTATAAAATGATTTATTCATAATTTAAATGAAAAAAAAAATTGTCCCAAATATATCAATTAGTTTTTAGTTATTAATACCCAATTCATTACACATTTCTTTAGCCTTTGGATGATTATTTGAAGCAGCTTTCTTTAAATATTCAGCACCTTGCTTCTTATCTTTTTCAATACCATTACCACCTTTCCAATAAGCCTTTCCAATAATATACATAGCTGCAGAATTTCCTTGATTAGCTGCCATCTTTAAATATTTAAGAGCTTCAAGAGTATTTATAACAACACCATTACCCTCCCATAAACACATTCCATATCTTAATTGAGCTGAAGGATTTCCTTTGTCAGCTGTTTCTTTAAATATATTTGCAGCGATTCTAATCTTTTCGTCCTTATTAATTTGTTGTAACTCAGGAATTTTCTCTTCATGATAATAATAATATCCTAACCAGTATTTTGCTTCAAGATTGGTGGGCGAATGATATTTGAAACTTTGCCATGCTAATTGTTTATTTCCATTCGTAGATCTATGCACGTTAATTGCTTCATCAACAGAGAGAGTACAAAAGTCATTGGAAGTTGACACTTCAGTGTTATCTTGTAAGGAATCGGAATGTATTTTATTGCTCAAGTTATAAAAATCACGACAAATATCGGTTATACTAATACGCCACATTGAATCATATTCCATGGCTATATATATGATATTAGAAAGATTAAAAACTCGATATTAATACCCTACTAAAAAAAATATTTGCTAAATTTATTGTAACAAACAATTACCTCTAGTTACTATAGTTCTCCATTCTGTAGGTACATCATTTGAAAATGGTAAGCAATACCTTTCACTAACACGCTTTCTAATGTTAACGAGCAAGACTGATTTATCAAGATCATAATGGGGTTTCTTTAATTCGGCAATTTCCCACAATAATGCTCCAACACTAAAATAATAAATACGTGGATTAGTAAAATAATATTCTTAATAATTCTTTTTTGAAAAAAAATTTTACCTTTATTACCTGTAAATTTCACATTTAGAATCGTAAGGAACTTTCTTTTTTTGAGCATCATTATTATTGTTTTCATCATTTTCTACCGCTAATTTTTCCGGAGCCATATATCTTATATTTTCTAAATTTTGCAAAATATTTCTTGTAATGTCGGAAAATTTTCTGCTTAAACCAAAATTTGCTATTTTAACTTTATGATTTCCATCAACTAAGACATTTGCAGACTGAATATCACGATGAAGAATCTATATTTCAAAAGGAAAATTCATAATTAGACCAAAAATATTTTCTTTTTAAAAATTATTTAAATTTAACTTACTTCGCATTCGTGAAGGTATGCGACGCCACGACAAATATCCAAAGCAAATTTAATTTTAGTTTTAAGATCTATATAATCTTTAAAATTCGTATAATATTCATGTAAATTCCCATATTTCATCCATTCAGTGACTAAATAATATTTAGTATCTTCCTGAGCAACACCATAAAAACTTATAATATGTTTAAAATTTTTCAATAATTTGAGAATATTAACTTCTCTTCTAATCTCAATTTGAATTTCTTTATTATTTGATTGATTTGATTGATCAGCTGAAGATGAGGTAGAAGTATTATTTGAAAATTCTTTGAAGCAATATTCCTCACAATTTCCGTATGATATACGTTTTTGAATTCGTTTTGAAGGACAATTTTCTTTAGAGTATTTACTACCGTCAAGTAATGGTTCGTTTTCTTCCACTTCAGATGTATTTTGTTTAACTTGTTTTTGAAAATTTTTGTTTTTCTTCGTTATTGAACATATGTCGTCTAAGACATTTTGTTGAGATTGTTTATCATCAGAAACACCCAAAATATGAGATAATATTTCCTTAATTCCTTTCAAATCAGATTTAACAGTCGCAAAATCGTCAGTAAATTGTACATTGATAGAAAAATTTAAACTACTCATATATCCATTAAATTCTTTTACAAGTTCGTTAAGTTCCTCTTCAATTTTCTTAGCATAAAAATATTTTTTAAGTTTATTTAATTGACTCACATTGGCAACAAATTTTTTGATTTTTTCCATACACTTAATAAATTCTTTAAATAATTTTAAATTTCCTTCTTTTGAAAAAAATCCTTTGCTTTCCGTTTTTCTCATATCTAAATCACGTACTGCTGCCATCGCACCATTACACCTTTTTAAAAGGAAACTACATAATTCTTTGTTATGTTTAGCTTTATCATATAATTTTTTAATTTCATCCCCTAATGCAAGGAATGTACCTATTAATGGTGCAAATTCATCAAAAGTTTGCGCAACATTTATTACTATTCCTATAACTTCTATAGTTGAATTTTTTTTTGTATCAATGTTTAAATCTGATGTTTCATCATAATTTTCATCAATACTATTATCAACGCTCATATTTCTCATCTTATTCGGTAATTCATCATCATTATTAGATTGACGGTTATCATTTTCCATGCTTTAAAAATAATTAAAAATGGTTTATTTAACGTGAATGTGATAATTTAAAGTGGAAAAAGAAAAAAGAAAATTAATTTTCCTAACAAGAAAACGAAAAAATTTCGAAGTTCATTAAATAAAAAAATTTCCCGGAGTCTCTTAACCGAAAGTACTATAAATATAAAAAAAAAAGTTTACGCACATTTATGCATTCTGCATAAAAAGTAAGTCAGTCCATTTTAGGAAAGAGAAACAATCTAACAAAAATTTACCGTTGAAGATAAAAATTCTCCGGTATCTTTCTGTTCGTGTAACATCAAATACTTAGTTTAATTGAGTAGTTAAATTATTTTATTTTCTTCTTTCATTACCCCATAAAAAAAATTATTCCGTGATTTGATCCCTTATTTTTTTTTTTTTTTGTATATTCGGACGATTTGTCGTTATAATTATAAAAAAAGGAAAAACCCGAATTGTAAGACCAGTTATGACATAAAAGAGAAGGAAATGTTTCATTAGAGACGATTTTAGGACAAAGAATACAGCAGAAAACAAAAACAGAACAGATTCTTATCCTAGAAATCATCCGGCAATAATACTTTTTTATATGTCTATGTTGGGAATAATATTAGAATTAGTATTTTATTATTAGTCCCATGCAGAATTAAACTTTCAGAGCCAGAATTACGATAATATTTAATTAATTATGTAGTATTTTTATGTACGGTATATTTATTTACGTTTTTATATTATCTGCTATTTAAAATTTCGACAAATTTAATTAGAATAAATAATAGGGAATTATAATGAAATATTATTATCTTTACAAAATTTGATAGCTAGTTCATAATTATGATAATTAGCTAATCTCATATAATAAATAGCTTTGTCAACATTCTTTTCAACAACAACTTTTCCAATTTCACTAACTCCTTCATAGTACAGTTTTCCAGCATTATACATTGCTACCATATAACCATTTTCAGCAGCTTGTTCAAAATATTTGAGAGCTTCTGATAAATCCTTTTTAACGCCTTTACCATTATATAAACAAATTCCATATCTTAATTTCGCATCAGGAAATTCATTTGCTTCATCATCAGCAACTTCTTTAAATAGGTCAGCAACAATTTTTTCTTTATCCGGAGGACCTTCAACAAATCCTTTTGAAATATAATATGCTTTATAATATTTTGCCATAATTTGATTACGGGTTGTCGTATTGGAGTTTGCATACGCTTCGAAACACTTATATGCAGTCTTCACATCTCCGAGGGGTTTGCCTTGTTTATCAACCCTTTTATGTTGTTTTGCTGCTTCAGCGAGTGTCATGTAATTAAATGATTCGAAGTCTGGTAGCTTTGGAACATGCTTTGGTAATACGTTTTTTTTGTCTTGTAAAGGCATGTTTGAAGAGTTTTCAAAAGATTTGAAACAATTACTAAGAATTTCAAACATTGTCGTAATTTTTGGCCTAAATTCTGGGTCGTGATTAACAGCTAAATACAGATAAAAAAAAGAATGATTTATAATTATTTTTTGAGAAATTTAAATTATAAATTTTTATTTCACATACCATCAAGCGCTAGGTTTTTGAATTCATCCGGCATTTTTTGACTATTTTCAGAAAATGGTTCCCGATATTTATCAAGTACAAGTCTAGTTATTTCTACAAAATCATCATGATTTTCATACGGAGTTTTTTCTTCGGAAATTTCCCAAAGTAGAATTCCAAAGCTATAAACTTCACATTTATTATTGTATTTGAATCCTGGGATCCTCTCCAGCATTTCAGGAGCACAGTACCGAATTTGTTCTAAATTATGGTGTTGATTTAGCGTATCTGCGTTATATGAGCGACTTAATTTAAAATTTGTAAGTTTTGCTGTATTTTTTGTATTTTTAAGTGTGATTAATACATTCTCAGCTCTAATATCACGATGCAAAATCTAAAAAAAAAAAAATTTCAAAAAAAAATTATTGAATAAGGTAACGACTAACGATCAATAAATTTTAAATTTAATATTTTACCTCTACAGTTCTTAAAAAATTCAATCCACGAGCAATATCGAGGGATACGCGTAATTTTAGCTTAGTATCAAATGAATTTTTATTATTTGTATAAAATTCACGTAAATTTCCATGTTCAGCCCATTCGGTTACTGAATACCATTTATTTCCATCATTAGTAAGACCGTAAAATTTTATTATATTCTGCCAATCGTGAAGTTCTCTAAGAATTGTAACTTGATTTTGCACGCTTCTTTTATCTCTTTCAGATATACTTTTAAATGCATACTCTTCATCCTCATTTTTAACATTAACCCACTTAGTCACATTCCCATCCTTACGTGGTTCCTTGTCAGTTTTTTTGTATTCAGAAAATATTAATTGATTTTCTTGAAAAATTTCATCATTTTTTGATTGATTTACTTTTGAGTTGTTTTCATTTTCCATTTGCTTTTCCAAAAATTCTTCCATATCATTGTTCATTTTATTGACTTTTAGAAGCTTTTTCTTATTGTCTTCATTATCAACTCTAATTTCGGCAATTTCAAAATACTAAATTATATTGAATAATTTAATAATGTAATAATGTTAAATTGAACTTGCGAATAATATATAATATCGCTATAAACTTACATTATTTAATTCGTCTTGATCGGCTTTTAATGCTTCAGCTTCTTCTTTGGGATAAATTTTATTTTTAATCGTGGTATTAAATTTTGATGAAACACCTATTATACAATCGTCAAATTCTTTACATAATTCTTTGAAAGTTTTCTCAATATTTTTCGGTTGATTATAATTCGACTTTAACAAAGTTGTCATTTGAGAAATATCTACTACAAATTCTTTAATTTTCTTTATAACATCAACTAAATTTTGTAGATATTGACGATTTTCATTAAAACACTCTTTATCGTCTCCATGAACTTTAAGATCAAGTATAGCCAAATACATAACGTAAATTCGCTGTTTCAATGCTTTACAAATTCGCTTATTATGTTCAGCTGCTTGTACTATTTCACCGATTTTGTCGAGGAGATCTCTAATTTCAGTAATTAAACCGAATATTTCATGTTTTTTTGCTGCTTCAGCATGTGTCATGTATTTAGATGAAGATGTGTGCGAATCGAAAGATTCGATACAATCGCTAAGAACTATAAATATTGTTGTAAGTTTTGGCCTAGATTCTGGGTTGTGATCAACGGCTAAACAAAAAAAAAAGAATAATTAATATCTTACGTATCTTATGGAAATTTAAATATAATTTTTTGTTCCTCATACCATCAAGTGCTAGGTTTTTGAATTCGTCCGGAATTTGATTATTTTCAGAAAATGGTTCCCGATATTTTTCAAGCACAAGCCTAGTTATTTCTAAAAAATCGTCATGATTTTCATATGAAGTTTTTTCTTCTGAAATTTCCCAAAGTAAAATTCCAAAGCTATAAACTTCACATTTATTATTGTATTTGAAGCCTGGAGTCCTCTGTAATATTTCAGGAGCGCAGTACCGAATCTGTTCTAAATTATGGCTTTGATTCAGCGTATCTGCTTTATATGAACGACTTAATTTAAAATTCGTAAGTTTTGCTGTATTATTATTTGTGATCAATACATTCTCAGCTCTAATATCACGATGTAAAATCTAAAAAAAAAAATTTCAAAAAAAAAATAATTGAAATAACGACTAACATAAATTTAATATTTTACCTCTACAGTTCTTAAAAAATTCAATCCACGAGCAATATCGAGGGATACGCGTAATTTTAGCTTGGTATCAAATGAATTTTTATTATTTGTATAAAATTCACGTAAATTTCCATGTTCAGCCCATTCAGTTACTAAATACCATTTATTTTCATAATTAGTAAGACCGTAAAATTTTATTATATTCCGCCAATTGTGAAGTTCCCTAAGAATTATAACTTGATTTTGTACGCTAATTTTGTTTTCCTCAGATATACTTTTAAATGCATATTCTTCTTCTTCATTTTTAACACTAACCCATTTAGTCACAATCCCATCCTTACGTGGTTTCTTGTCAGTTTTTTTGTAATCAGAAAATATTAATTGATGTGCTTGAAAAATTTCATCGATTTTTGATTGAGATTTTTTTTGGTTATATTCATTATCCATTTGCTTATCCAAAAGTTTTTCCATTGTACTTTTCATTATACTGATTTTATTGATTTTTGAAATCATTTCTTCTTTGTCTTTGTCGTCAACTCCAACTATTTGTCCAAAATACTAAAATTATAGGGATAGTTAATTATATGTTATACGCATAATGTAAAATAATGTTAACTTACTTTATTTAAATCATCTTGATCGGCTTTTAAGTTTTGTTCATCTTCTTCGGGACGAATTTGATCCTTGATCGTAGTGGTAAAATTTGTTGCATCTATTTTGATTATACAAACGTCAAAATCTCCGCATAATTCTTTAAGAGCTTTCTCTATATTTTCTGGTAGTATATATTTTAATTTTAACAAAGTTATCATTTGAGAAATATTTTTCATAAATTTTTTAATATTTGTTATAATAGTAATTAAATTTTGCAAATGTAGATAATTATTTCCATTAAAATATTCTTGATTATTTCTTTGAACTTTAAGATCAAATACGGCAAAGTCTACAGCATAAACTCGTTGCATTAATGCATTACAAATTCTTCTATTATATTCAGCTACTTGCGCTATCTCAATGACTTCGTTAAGAATATATCTAATTTCATCAATTAAAGGAAGAAATTTCGTAAACGGAATAGTGAACGGAACAATTATCATCAGTTCTTAATTATTTTATTACGTTGTATAGCAATACAAGAAATTTCGATTAGATTTTTTGAAATTGAATCGTTGGAAATAAAATAATAATAATAATAAATTTATCGTACCTTTTACAAAATTTTCCTTAGTTAAATTGTATCCAATTAAATCGATAGGAACTTCATCCTCTTTTTCGTTATCAATTTTAAAGTTTTTGTAATTTGAAGATATACAAAGTATATCTATTTTATAATCATGACTATTAGAAATTACACTTGAAGCCGAATAAACTTTGTTTAATTCATTAACGTTAATAATTGGTTTAATTATTTCAATTTTAATAGAATTATAAGACCAATTTACTAATTTGATGCCATTATTAGGTTCAAAATTTGACAGATGTGAATTAAAAAAAACAGTGTTTCCTTGAGATAATGAGAAAGGAGTCACTATACGATATTCTAATCGACTAGGTTGTAATGTAATGGAAAAATAATCAACTTGACAATCTCGATTTTTTGGGCTAAATACTGATAAACTCGAAGGTTTTCCAATAATAATCCATAAAATATAACATTCTTTTATATTAGCATTTGTTTCCGATACTTTGTTTATTATTGCAGAAAATCCACTAAAGTCATACAATTCAAATGTAACAAAAAATTCATCTAATTTTTTATGACTTTTTTTTGAAATAATTGACCCAAAAACTTCATAATTTCCATCTTCTAATGTAGGATCTATATTTATTCTCTTTTCGTTCTCAGTGTCAATATCAAAATCTTTTAAATCTGCAAATCCCGTCATAATAATTTTGAAATTATCTTTTGTATTTAAAATATAATCTATTTTTCTCTGTTGTCCTGCTTCAAGGATTTCATATAAAGGGATTACATTGTCAAATTCGATAATTTCTAAATTATTATCTATATTTCGTATCCAGTCAGATAAATCACTTATTTTGACAAAAATTCCTTTTCTTAAGAACGATCTTAAAGATCTAAATGGTGGTGATCCTAAATCAACTTTTTCGAGATTCTCGAAATTCTCGAAATTAAAAGGTAAAGAGGAGTTTGGTAAAGTATTTTTAAGAGATTTTCCCAAGATAATACTTAACGGGAAAAAAAGTCCATATTCATCAAATAAATCTTTTAAAAATATAAGTGGTTTCATATCTTCGATTGCTTGTTCTATAGCTTGTTTAAATTCTTCCGAAGGTTCAATGTCATTCTTATTCAAACAAATCTTATATTTCATTGTATAATCTCCATAATTTGAATTATTATCACAGCGTTTACCGTCATTAGGTATTAAAAATTCTTTTAAATTTGTTGTTGGCTTCATAATGTTCAAACAAGATTCATCAATTGAATATATATCAGGAATATTGACGAGATCAATAGCAATTTTTTTCTTGATATTTGTTAATTCAAAATATTTATTTACTATAAATTCTTTCATCCATTTCATTATACTGACGTATATTGAATCAAAATTTTCTTTAGTCAAATTGTATCCAATTAAACCAAGAGAATATTCAACCTCTTTTTCATTATCAACTTTTGGGTTTTGGTAGTCCGAAGATACGTTAAAAATATCTATTGTGTAATCACCACTATAAGGAATTACATTTGAAACCGAATTAACTTTTTTCGATCCATTAACGTTAATAATTGGTTTAATTATTTCAATTTTGATAGAATTATAAGACCAATTAATTAATTTGATGCCATTTTTAGAACGTGAATTAAAAAAAATAGTATTTCCTTGAGATAATGAGAAAGGAGTCACAATACGATAATCTAATCGATTAGGTTGCAGTGTAATGGAAAAATGATCAACTTGACAATCTCGATTTTTTGGGCTAAACATTAATTTAAAATAACATTCCATATCATAAACTCGTCCTCTAAATAATTCACAAATTTGTTTATTATGTTCAGCTTCTCGTGCTATTTCATCGACTTCATCAAGAATATTTTCGAATTCGTTAATTAAAGCAAGAAATTTCTTATGAGAAACAACTGTAATTAAATTGAAAAATTTTATAATTACAAAATGATTTGGATTTATTGAAAAATAGCAAGGAAAAACAGTATTTATCATACCTTTTGAGAAATTATCTTGAAAATTTTGCAATTCTTCTAGTATTATTTCATTACTTAAACTCATTTTAGATGAAAGTTCATCAGTTGATGTTATAGGATCTATTTCGTTTGATTGCATTTTATCAAAATTTTGAATAATTTGAGATAATTCTCCATGTGATAAATTATCACTTAGTCCAGAAACTGATGATGCCGATGATGCCATAAGTTCTTGTTTATCTGATATTGATAATTGAAAATTTTCCGTCTGACAATTTTCTGTCATTATGTTTGGTTTTTTTATAGTTATTTCTAACCTTTCCATTACTTGATTGATAGTTGGACGATTATCTGGCTCACCATCCCAACATTCTAAATAAAATCAAATTTAAAATGGTTTTGATATAAAGTAATATATAAATTAATCAAAATATAGTATATTGTAATATTGTACTTACCAGTGTAAATTTTAACGTAATCTTCAGGCGTATCGGGCGTAGGTTCTTCTCTCACGCCTTTCAAAATATTTATAATCAAATGACAATCATATTTTTCAGAATAAAAAGGAGGCTGTCCGCTCGATATCTCCCATAATAACACACCAGTACTGTAAACGTCACTTTTTTCATTTAAAGAACACTTTTTTTCTCTAAATTTTACTGGATCAATATAAGGAATACTTCCATATAAATCTGATTGTTTAGACGATGCAGATGATGTACCGATTCTTTCTGACAAACCAAAATCAGTCAGCTTTATAGTATCTCGATGAACTAACACATTGCAAGAGTGCTATTAAATTATAAAAATATATTAAATAATGATCCATTCAAATTGAGTGAAATGAAAAAAAAATTACCAAATCATGATGCACTATTCCTTCATTGTGTAAGCATGATATACCACAGGACAATTGGTATGCCAAATTATATTTATCGTCCCAATTAAGATTTTTAAAGTTTTTCTTCAAATATTCTTTGAGAGTACCACCATTAGCGTATTCCATTACTAGCATATAATTTTTCACTAGACCATTTTGACCATTTTTGTTTTCTAATGAACAAGAAATATAATTTTTTACACTTTTGCTTACCAATAGATAATATATTCGATATTTTAATTATTATACCTGATTCAACTGTAATCCCACAAAATTTAATAATATTATCATGAAAATTTATTTCTTTTTGAAGTTTAAACTAAGCTATAAATTAAATAAGGAATATTATATAAAGAATACATATTATAAATATCGTTAAAATTGTGTTGTATTCTATAATTACCTCGCGAACAATATCTTTTACAGTGGCGCATTTTAATGCTAAACAATTTGAATTTCTCCAATTTGCACGGAACACTTTTCCGGATCTTCCAGATCCGATTTCTTGAATGTCACTGAAATATTTATAATCATAATATTTTAGATGATCTTTATTAACAGCTTCCTTAATCCAATTAATCCATTCATTTGTATTTATTTCGATATTATTAGACATAGTGAAGTAATGGTAAAAAAAAACCCGAAGTCCGAATTTTATTTTTAAATACTTTTGTGACAGTTACACGAGTTACACTTTACACTGCATATGAACACGTTGCTCTTGTACCCAAAAGTCAGAATCTTAAGTTTACCTATATCAAATTGTATTTATTCTTTAGGTTGTTTAAATTCAAGCTTCAGAAGGGAGTTACGGTCCGAATGAATTCGAAGGGGCACATTTTGGTAATTATACACGGATTTTAATTAATAAAGATTAAATTTTTTCTTATATATTATAAGACCTGCAACCCAATGCACAATCTAGTAGTTTAACAATTTGTTTTAATTTTCTCCCTACTTTTATTTTTTGAAGACAATTTTTTTTTTATTATATGATAAGATATCTAAAAAAAAAAATTCTTTTTATTGACTTAATATTCATGGATCGGAGTCTAAAATAAACATCTATTCAATGACGGAGCCTGATCGACACGTTTCTACTGGCCGTCTAGCCTATCTGAGATCAAATTTAGATTTTTTTGTCAATTACTCCACCGGCATAAAAAAAGTATAAAATCCATCGGTGTATAAAAACTTCATATACACTAATGCTCCCTCCGGTCCTCAAGGCATCGGTGAATATTTAGTAATTCATTGATATCCATGGAATAACAAGTATTTATTTGTTGAGGATTATATGGATCTTCAGTACGGTACGATTGTTGATTTCCAAAAATTCCATATAGACTATTTAATATTTAATATATTATAACTGCTTCCTTCAAATCCTTCGGATTATATCCAGTTTCTTTCGATATTCGGATTTAAATCCGAATATCGAATACTGGATCTAACCTTTATGTAAAAGTCGATATTTAAAATATTTATTACCTTCTAAGTTTATATTTCAGATGGACAAATTCGGCTATTTATTTTTAATTATTTGTTAGAACATTCTTTTTAATAATTAGGATTATATTATTACGATCTTTATTATATATTATATACAGGTACGGAATGATTAGCAAATAAATAAATTCGTACTAGTACTGAATAACCTTCTCAAATTTTGATCTTATAATACTATATTTGTAAAGGCTCAATTATAAGGTTATGGACTTTTTATATCTAATACAATGTATACTATATAATATACAAACTAACAATTTACAAATTTGTTAATTATAAATAATAGGAAATTATAATGAAATATTATTATCTTTACAAAATTTGATAGCTAGTCCATAATTATGATAATTAGCTAATCTCATATAATAAATAGCTTTGTCAACATTCTTTTCAACAACAACTTTTCCAATTTCACTAACTCCTTCATAGTACAGTTTTCCAGCATTATACATTGCTACCATATAACCATTTTCAGCAGCTTGTTCAAAATATTTGAGAGCTTCTGATAAATCCTTTTTAACGCCTTTACCATTATATAAACAAATTCCATATCTTAATTTCGCATCAGGAAATTCATTTGCTTCATCATCAGCAACTTCTTTAAATAGGTCAGCAACAATTTTTTCTTTATCCGGAGGACCTTCAACAAATCCTTTTGAAATATAATATGCTTTATAATATTTTGCCATAATTTGATTACGGGTTGTCGTATTGGAGTTTGCATACGCTTCGAAACACTTATATGCAGTCTTCACATCTCCGAGGGGTTTGCCTTGTTTATCAACCCTTTTATGTTGTTTTGCTGCTTCAGCGAGTGTCATGTAATTAAATGATTCGAAGTCTGGTAGCTTTGGAACATGCTTTGGTAATACGTTTTTTTTGTCTTGTAAAGGCATGTTTGAAGAGTTTTCAAAAGATTTGAAACAATTACTAAGAATTTCAAACATTGTCGTAATTTTTGGCCTAAATTCTGGGTCGTGATTAACAGCTAAATACAGATAAAAAAAAGAATGATTTATAATTATTTTTTGAGAAATTTAAATTATAAATTTTTATTTCACATACCATCAAGCGCTAGGTTTTTGAATTCATCCGGCATTTTTTGACTATTTTCAGAAAATGGTTCCCGATATTTATCAAGTACAAGTCTAGTTATTTCTACAAAATCATCATGATTTTCATACGGAGTTTTTTCTTCGGAAATTTCCCAAAGTAGAATTCCAAAGCTATAAACTTCACATTTATTATTGTATTTGAATCCTGGGATCCTCTCCAGCATTTCAGGAGCACAGTACCGAATTTGTTCTAAATTATGGTGTTGATTTAGCGTATCTGCGTTATATGAGCGACTTAATTTAAAATTTGTAAGTTTTGCTGTATTTTTTGTATTTTTAAGTGTGATTAATACATTCTCAGCTCTAATATCACGATGCAAAATCTAAAAAAAAAAAAATTTCAAAAAAAAATTATTGAATAAGGTAACGACTAACGATCAATAAATTTTAAATTTAATATTTTACCTCTACAGTTCTTAAAAAATTCAATCCACGAGCAATATCGAGGGATACGCGTAATTTTAGCTTAGTATCAAATGAATTTTTATTATTTGTATAAAATTCACGTAAATTTCCATGTTCAGCCCATTCGGTTACTGAATACCATTTATTTCCATCATTAGTAAGACCGTAAAATTTTATTATATTCTGCCAATCGTGAAGTTCTCTAAGAATTGTAACTTGATTTTGCACGCTTCTTTTATCTCTTTCAGATATACTTTTAAATGCATACTCTTCATCCTCATTTTTAACATTAACCCACTTAGTCACATTCCCATCCTTACGTGGTTCCTTGTCAGTTTTTTTGTATTCAGAAAATATTAATTGATTTTCTTGAAAAATTTCATCATTTTTTGATTGATTTACTTTTGAGTTGTTTTCATTTTCCATTTGCTTATCCAAAAATTCTTCCATATCATTGTTCATTTTATTGACTTTTAGAAGCTTTTTCTTATTGTCTTCATTATCAACTCTAATTTCGGCAATTTCAAAATACTAAATTATATTGAATAATTTAATAATGTAATAATGTTAAATTGAACTTGCGAATAATATATAATATCGCTATAAACTTACATTATTTAATTCGTCTTGATCGGCTTTTAATGCTTCAGCTTCTTCTTTGGGATAAATTTTATTTTTAATCGTGGTATTAAATTTTGATGAAACACCTATTATACAATCGTCAAATTCTTTACATAATTCTTTGAAAGTTTTCTCAATATTTTTCGGTTGATTATAATTCGACTTTAACAAAGTTGTCATTTGAGAAATATCTACTACAAATTCTTTAATTTTCTTTATAACATCAACTAAATTTTGTAGAGATTGACGATTGTTTTCATTAAAACATTCTTTATCGTCTCCATGAACTTTAAGATCAAGTATAGCCAAATACATAACGTAAATTCGCTGTTTCAATGCTTTACAAATTCGCTTATTATGTTCAGCTGCTTGTACTATTTCACCGATTTTGTCGAGGAGATCTCTAATTTCAGTAATTAAACCGAATATTTCATGTTTTTTTGCTGCTTCAGCATGTGTCATGTATTTAGATGAAGATGTGTGCGAATCGAAAGATTCGATACAATCGCTAAGAACTATAAATATTGTTGTAAGTTTTGGCCTAGATTCTGGGTTGTGATCAACGGCTAAACAAAAAAAAAAGAATAATTAATATCTTACGTATCTTATGGAAATTTAAATATAATTTTTTGTTCCTCATACCATCAAGTGCTAGGTTTTTGAATTCGTCCGGAATTTGATTATTTTCAGAAAATGGTTCCCGATATTTTTCAAGCACAAGCCTAGTTATTTCTAAAAAATCGTCATGATTTTCATATGAAGTTTTTTCTTCTGAAATTTCCCAAAGTAAAATTCCAAAGCTATAAACTTCACATTTATTATTGTATTTGAAGCCTGGAGTCCTCTGTAATATTTCAGGAGCGCAGTACCGAATCTGTTCTAAATTATGGCTTTGATTCAGCGTATCTGCTTTATATGAACGACTTAATTTAAAATTCGTAAGTTTTGCTGTATTATTATTTGTGATCAATACATTCTCAGCTCTAATATCACGATGTAAAATCTAAAAAAAAAAAATTTCAAAAAAAAAAATAATTGAAATAACGACTAACATAAATTTAATATTTTACCTCTACAGTTCTTAAAAAATTCAATTCACGAGCAATATCGAGGGATACGCGTAATTTTAGCTTGGTATCAAATGAATTTTTATTATTTGTATAAAATTCACGTAAATTTCCATGTTCAGCCCATTCAGTTACTAAATACCATTTATTTTCATAATTAGTAAGACCGTAAAATTTTATTATATTCTGCCAATTGTGAAGTTCTCTAAGAATTATAACTTGATTTTGTACGCTAATTTTGTTTTCCTCAGATATGCTTTTAAATGCATATTCTTCTTCTTCATTTTTTGCACTAACCCATTTAGTCACAATCCCATCCTTATGTGGTTCCTTATCAGTTTTTTTGTAATCAGAAAATATTAATTGATGTGCTTGAAAAATATCATCAATTTTCGATTGATATTTTTTTTGGTTATATGTATTTTCCATTTTCTTATCCAAAAGTTTTTCCATTGTACTTTTCATTATACTGATTTTATTGATTTTTAAAATCATTTCTTCTTTGTCTTTGTCATCAACTCCAACTATTTGTCCAAAATACTAAAATTATAGAGATAGTTAATTATATGTTATACGCATAATGTAAAATAATGTTAAGCTTACTTTATTTAAATCTTCTTGATCGGCTTTTAAGTTTTGTTCATCTTCTTCGGGACGAATTTTATCCTTGATCGTAGTGGTAAAATTTGTTGCATCTATTTTGATTATACAAACGTCAAAATCTCCGCATAATTCTTTAAGAGCTTTCTCTATATTTTCTGGTAGTATATATTTTAATTTTAACAAAGTTATCATTTGAGAAATATTTTTCATAAATTTTTTAATATTTGTTATAATAGTAATTAAATTTTGCAAATGTAGATAATTATTTCCATTAAAATATTCTTGATTATTATTTCTTTGAACTTTAAGATCAAACACGGCTAAGTCTACGGCATGAACTCGTTGCTTTAGTGCATTACAAATTCTTTTATTATATTCAGCTGCTTGCGTTATCTCAATGACTTCATTAAGAATGTTTCTAATTTCGTCAATTAAAGGAAGGAATTTCGTAAACGGAATAGTGAATGGAACGATTATCATCAGTTCTTAATTATTTTATTACGTTGTATAGCAATAAAGAAATTTTCGATTAGATTTTTTGAAATGGATCGTTGGAAATAAATTATTAATAATATGAAATTTATCGTACCTTTTACAAAATTTTCTTTAGTTAAATTGTGTCCAATTGAATCGATAGAAATTTCATCCACTTTTTCATTGTCAACCTTTAAGTTTTTATAATTTGAAGATACACTAAAAATATCTATTTTGTAATCATGACTATTAGAAATTATACTCAAAGCCGAATAAGCTGATTCATCAACGTTAATAGTTGGTTTAATCATTTCAATTTTAATAGAATTATAGGACCAATTTATTAATTTGATGCCATTTTTAGGTTCAAAATTTGTAGAATGTGAATTAAAAAAAATAGTGTTTCCTTGAGATAATGAGAAAGGAGTCACAATACGATAATCTGGTTGATTAGGTTGTAATGTAATGGAAAAATGATCAACTTTACAATCTCGATTTTTTGGGCTAAATACTGATAAACTTGAAGGTTTTCCAATAATAATCCATACAATATAACATTCTTTTATATTAGCATTTGTTTCCGATAATTTGTTTATTATCGCAGAAAATCCACTAAAGTCATACAATTCAAATGTAACAAAAAATTCATCTAATTTTGAATGACTTTTTTTTGAAATAATTGACCCAAAAACTTCATAATTTCCATCTTCTAATGTAGGGTCAATATTTATTCTCTTTTCGTTCTCGGTGTCTATATCAAAATCTTTTAAATCAGCTAATCCCGTCATAATAATTTTGAAATTATCTTCCTTATTTAAAATACAATCTATTTTTTTCTGTTGTCCTGCTTCAAGGATTTCATATAAAGGGATTATCTTATCAAATTCAATAATTTCTAAATTATTATCTATATTCTGTATCCAGTCAGGTAAATCGCTTATTTTAACAATATTTCCTTTTTTCGGTAAAAAATAAGAAATATTCAATTTTCCTAGAGATTCAAATGGTGGTGATCCTAAATCAACCCTTTCGATATTTTCGAAATTAAAAGATAAGGAGGAGTTCGGTAGGGTATTTTTAAGGGATTTCCCCAAAATAATACTTAGCGGGAAGAAATGTCCATACTCATCAAATACATCTTTTAAAAATATAAGTGGTTTCATATCTTCAAGTGCTTTTTCTATAGCCTGTTTGAATTCTTCTGAAGGGTTAATATCATCCTTATTCAAACGAATCTTATATTTTTCATATTTCATTATAAAATGTGTATAATCTCCAAAATTTGAATTATTAGATCGAATAGCTCTTTTATTAATTGATAAAGAGTTACTTGAATATATATTAATAGGTATTAAAATTTCTTTTAAATTTGTCGTCAGGTATAGTGTTTTATCATCATAACGTTTACCGTCAGATTCAATAGTTTTATTAGATATATTATTATTTATCAAAAATTCTTCTAAATTTGTTGTTGGCTTCATAATTTTTAAATAAGATTCATCAATTGAATATATGTCAGGAATATTGACGAGATTAATAGAAATTTTTTTGCTATTTTCTAATTCAAAATATTTATTTACTATTAAGCCTTGAAGTAGACGAAACTCTTTGATCCATTTCGTTATATTGACGTATATTGAATCTCCAACCCACTTTTTTAAACTCAATCTTTCTTTAAAATTAACAATTCCAGGTTGTTTTTCGTCTGTTATTAATGTTGTAGTACTGGAACTTAATTCGGAAATAGGGATAAGATCATTATAAGAGATTATATCAGGCATGTCCTTTTGATATAAAACACTTATCCAATTAGCCAATTTATAAGGTGCGTCTAAATCATCTCCATCTAATGTTCTTATTTTTGGGAAAAAATTTAGAGAGGATAAATTATTAAACGGATTTTTTTTGTCGTATTTGGCTGAATCATATGCCACAGTTAAGAAAGATTTAAATATGTCAGCTTGCGTTGAAGTTTCTGGTTTAAAGTCGTCGATAAATATTTTGCCACCCATTAAAACTTTCTTTGCGAATAGATGACCATAGGTTTCATACAATGTTTCTCTATCATTGTCCAAAAAGTTCGAAATTGGTTTTGCGGTATAAGTAATTTCAACGATAGGAAAATTGATGCATATATCTGATGGTTGTAGAGTTTCGTTAAGTTCAATCTCATTATTATTAGAATTAAAACTTAATAAATTTACATTAGAGTCACGGTCATTTATAAAGGTATATACTATGGGTTGTCCTTCATATAAACTTATATTCAATATACCATCTTCAAAAAGTACGGCTCGCTTACTAGGTTCAATTTTATGCCCATTCAAAAACAATCCATGATTCAGCTTAAGATTTTGAATTATTTGTTGAGATACCATTGGGGTTAAAGTATCAACAATCTCTTGAATTGTTGGTCTTTTGTCCGGATCATGATCCCAACACTCTATATAAATTAGGAAACAATTAGTTTTATTTGTTGGTACGTTTTTTGATTCTTAGTACTTTTACGTTTTTTGGTTCATTGGTAATGGTGCATTCATTAGTACCAAATTTATCATAAAAGTCATTACTTACTTGAATAAAGAACAGAATATCCTTCAGGTGTCCCCTCTACTATTTTTTCTCTTAATCCTTTCGCAATTCTCTCGGCCAAAGATAAATCATACTTTATATCAGCAAAAGGCTTTTTGCCACTAGACAATTCCCAAAACAACACCCCAATACTATAAATATCACTTTTTTTCTGCTTTTTTATCTGCTTATTCTCTTCTGATGAATTTAAATACCGTGAATTTTCTCCTATAATACCAAATACTTCTGGATCAAGATAAGGAACAGTTTCAAATGAAATTTGACCGGCATCTTTAATACGTTTACTTAAACTAAAATCCGCCAGTTTAATTGAATTTTGGTGAATAAGTATATTATTTGAATGTAAATCTTTGTGTACGATTCCATTTTCATGTAAGCAATTTATTGCATTTGACAATTGAAGAGCTAATCCGTATTTATCTCCCCAATTTAATGAAAAAAATTTCGCTTCCAAATAATTACGAAGTGTACCTCCTTCTGCATATTCTTTTACCAATAAATATTCTTTATCTAAAAATTTCAAAGTAATCTTAATAATTAAAAAATAATATTAAGAATAATAATAAAATATTATCCGTCTGTTGAATAAGATTGACTATTATATAATGCACGATCCTTAATTAAACCGTGTTCCGTGGTAACTTCAAACATAAAAATTATCTACCTGAATCAGTTTTAGATATTCCGTAAAGTTTTATCATCACATCGTTAAAGTTAACTTCATGATATAATTTTATCTAAAACGGAACAATTATTCTTAGTACAGGCACACTTTGATTCATGTTTCTCTTTTCAGACACGGACACGTACCTCGGAAATAATTTCTTCAACATTGTCCAAATTAAACGACTTCAACACTAAGCATTTGCCATTTTGTTTCCAATTCGCTTTATACACTTTACCAACTAATCCACCACCTATCTCTTTTATTTGATCAAATTCATTATATTTATAATATTTTAAATGGTATTTCTTAACACATTGTTCTAGTGCATCAGTAGTCATGTTGATGAGAAATATAAGATGAAATCTTTTTTTTTGCGTGAAAGGAACAATAATGTTGTATCACCGCTGAACTTGTTATTCCGGAATTAAGCATCTTTCTTGATATTATACCTACATAATTCTGGTCAAAATTAGCATAATTCGGGCTGGAGAGCATTTTTTTCAGGGGGGGTGTTTAATTTAGGATATGAATATAACAATTTATAATTGTGTCCGAATTTATTTATTTATTTATTTATTTATTTATTTATTTTTTTTTTAAAAAAAAATTATATTATTTATTATCAGTCATGGCTTTTGCCTTTAGAAGTTATTTTTCTAAAAAAGTTAGTAATGTTGGAATAACGGTGGTACGTATAGACCAAAAAGCGTCGCAACCATGTAAATTTGTTCATTTTAATCTTTCGGATAACTTATCAAAAGTGCGACTACAACTCGAAAAAAGAGACATGATCGATTCTACATTATCATTTGCAAGAAAGTTTATTGAAAATGGTAATAGTAAATTTGCAGAAATAGAGTTTGAGGACGAAGAGGATATTCTTTTAGATAAAATCGTGCGTCAAAGTGAAGAAAGTGAAGATACTTTCATTTTAAATTTGATGACATGTTCAAAATTTAATTGGAAGATTCTGAACAAATTACATAAATTAGATTATGGACGTACCATGACTTCGGATGGAATTAAGAGAGCAGATAAGAGAGCGTTTGAAATGAAAAATTGTATATTGGAAATTGGTAATAAAGAATGCGAAACAGGAATATTCACATCTGAGTCAAGTGAAGATTTGATGATGGATAAAAATTTATTTTTTAATACTGATATTAATATACGGTATTTCGTGAAGTTGGGAATAGGGGTGTCAATCGGAACGTCAAAAAGTAAAGAATCTTGCGTTGAAACTAACTACTATTATCGTTTTATAAAGTATGGTAAAGCATCATTGAAATTGAAATATGAGCATTTAGAAGCAACGCCGGAATTTATTAAAGTAATTGAAAGTGCCATAAGTTCCGAAGATCCTGCCGAACAATTTAAGCAAATTCTTAAAGATTTCGGTCAATTTATTCCAACCAACGTTATTTTAGGTGGAAGAGTTCATTATGATGATTTTACGAAATCAGTTAAACACACTGTGGGAAAGTCCAACGAATTTAGTAAAAATATAAATATAGGAGATCTGAAAGGAGAATTAGGTAAAGGTTCTACTAATTCAGAAGAAAATTCAAATAATTATAGTCGTAGATATTCAAAAGTAATTGGAGGCGAGCAACCTGATAATATTGAAAATTTAGATATAGGAAATTGGGTTAGTTCATTAAATAAGAGTTATGAAAATTGGGATTGTATAGAATTTCGCGATCCGATTATTATTTTTCAGCTTCTACCTGAAGATTTACGTAAACGAATCATTAAGTCTGTTGGAATGAAAATCCATCATTTACATACTGAAAATCATAATTGTGTTTTAGAAGAGTTCAGAAAGCCGATCCAATTTAATTTGAGTATACCAAATGAAATCTCAAAAATTATTAAAAACAAAGATGTAGATTTTAAAATTTTTGCAACCGTTACGGATATAACGAAATCAAAGAATGACTTTTTTACTTGTCAAGTCCTTTGTCCATCAAATGGAAAACTACCGAGTCTTATAATTCATCGTGTACAAAACTCGTTTAAAATCTTTAAAAGGCGTGAATGCAAATTAAAAATTGGGTGGATGGTAATCGGGTACTATAGAGATTTCAATTTTGATTATAATACTCGACTAGACATCCTGCATTATGATTATGATTCTAATGCACAAGATACAGATAATCTAATCGAATATGATTCAAAAGTCCCAATTTGTTTAGGAATTCCTGTGGTACGTGAATATCCTAATAATGAATCTCTTGTTATCGGATATTATTATAGACAACATGAGAATAATAAAATTAAGGCATGTACTTTCGCTTATTGTTTAAAAGATAAGTGCCTTGTAAAATTGCCTAATTTTACATTTTACACACTTAAAATTACAAATTATCATAACCATGGTGCTTGTAGTACAATTACGCTTAGAAAAAAAGAATATAGTAATTTTAATACTGAATCTCCAAAATTTGTTAGCATATATTCTGCCGAAAAAACTGATTGTGTTTTTTTGAAACAAAGAAATGGGCAAGTTAAAATTAAAAAAATTGGTAACGACAACACAGTAATATTATCGGTTAAGTGTGCAATCTTTGATCCATATCTGGTACATCAGGTATTTGTTATAATATATATATATATTTTTTTTCATAAAAAAATTTTTTATATAATAATATTAATTAAAAGTATATTTTTTTTTTTTAAGGTAGAGACATTATAAGGAATTTAAAATTTCCCAGATTTTTCATTAAAGTTTACTAGTTAGAATAATATAAAAATTTTGACAATTGTAGGATTAGAATAAATTAGTTTTTTAGAAGTAAATTAATCGTTATTATAAAAGAGAATTTTTTCTACAATGTAATTGTAATGTTATTTATTATACTATATATATTAAAATAAATAAAATTTATAACCATTTGGGATCAATGGTTGTTAGATTAATATTAGCATATTAGATTTATACTGTAATACATTAAATCGCCGTAATTATATGGAAAAAAAATATATAATTATCTTTGGCTATATCTAATTGACAATTGGCAGCCGTAGCTAAGCCACCGAAATGGATCAACCGGTTACACATCTGTCAAGCAATATAACAACAGGGTGTGACGCGGGGTGACAAATATTTTGAGATCACGTGGGGAGGGTAGTTGTGGAAAATAAAACCCAAAGGATTGAGTTTTTAACAAAAACACGGTGGTTATCAGAACAATCACGTGATCTTCCAGTTTGACACAAACTTAGGCAGGAGCTGGTTTGTTCTATAGAAAATATCAAAACACGAAGTTGTAATAAAGTCGATATTGACAGTCAGAATTTAATCATAATGGTATGAATTAAAAGATGTGTAGTAAGGTCTACGTTTGGTCCAAATTCTCATTAAATCAAATTGTTTTGTTATTTGACCGAAGATTACAGTATACACTATACAGACATAATTTAAGTTACAATATACTGTATGTATTATAAATTTGAAATTCAAAGCCACAAATTTATAATATTTGACGGCAATAATTTCAAGAACACACTGACATATTATATCTTAATGTAGTTACGTTATTTGTAAGTTTTTATCATACCTTTAATAAAATAAATTCTTAACTCTCCTACTATATGCTACATAGAAAAATTTCATGTCAATTTTTATGTGTTTTCTTGTCAATTTTTGCGTAAAGTCGCAAATCAAAATTATTCATTTTTTTCGTTTGTTTGTTAGTTTGTTTTGTTCAGATTTTTTTTTTTTTTTGATCGTTTGTTCATTACATTATAAAATTTTAAATTGTATTATCTATCTATTTGTTAATATGCACAAATAATTTTATTACTAAATAATTAAATCTCCTTTCTTATACTATATACAATGCTAACATAAATGCATTTCTCTGCATTCGAACCCTTCACGTTTCAACATTTTTTAATATTATCACTATTGTATTCATATTTATTTATATATATTTAGGTAGTATCGGTTCAGAACCGAATCGAACCGAGCGAGTCGTTCCCACCTATAGGTGCCGTCGACGGCTGCGAAGCAAATTACAGCTTATGCCGTATGCCTAATGCCGTAATTTTTTTACGGTTATGGCATTTAACAAATACCGTAACGCCGACGCCGTAATTGCTGTAATTCAAGAATTTCGACAGCACCTACTGTATATCCCTATGCATGAGGGCGAATTAGGTCTCATTACACAAATTCGGCGTAATACTATTTTAATATGAATCTTTGAACAAAAATTTGGCGTAATAAATTTCACCAATACGCCGCCTAAATGCCGAATTATCTAGAATAATTACGTCCCCATGTATACTATATTCTAACACGGTTCGCAACAACTAATTATTTTTGATAAAAACATTACAAACCATTTTTAGATGTGTTTTACAGCTGATTTCAAAAAGGTCGGGACACTTAGCAAATTTTAAAGAACTCAGAAATATTCGGTAAAGCTCAAAATAAGATAAAATTAAACCACCATTCTCGGAATAGTACTCCAAAATTAGCGTATAATTTTTATTTTATATCAAGCTTTACTGAATCTTTAAAATTTGCTAAGTGTCCCAACCTTTTTAAAATCAGCTGTAATATGAAATCATGGTTCGTAAAGGACCCAGAAATATATATGTAGGGGTATGGTGCATAATTGCGTCGCCAGCATAGAGAAATTTTACGGAGTTAGGTATTGATTTGCGTACAACCTGAGGATTTTTTAGCCACGGTCAGACGTATTTTTAGTAATTGTAATTTGGCTGATGAGATAAATAAAAATAACTAATAGTGCAAAAAAATATGTAGCACTTTATTTAGTACAAAAAAATGTGTAATGCGTGCACATTACATTATATAATTATGTGACATATAAAAAGTTATTAAAAATTTTTCTTCGATAAACGTTAAGGATAAACGTGAAGTTTGATCAACAAACAATAGGTAAATCACATGATCGGTGGTTAGGAAATTAATTTGCGTATTTTTTCCAATTATCCAAAGTAAGAGGTAATTTTGCGTACCGAACTTATAGAAAACCCTTGCGTATAGCTATTAGTAAAAAGTTTGAAGGCCACCTTACCTTTTTATATATATTTCGGGGTTCTGTTCGTAACATTTAATCATTTTGATAAAAACGTTTAGTTAGGTTCTTTGACCAACCGATACCTATTTTTGATACTGATCAGTCAAACGATCGGTCAAACGGTCAGCCATAGCGGTCAGTAAGAACGGTCGGTCAAACGGTCAGCCATAGCGGTCAGTAAGAACGGTCGGTCAAAGGTTCTTGACCGGTTAAGACCGACCGATGACTGACCATGACTGACCGTTGCCATCCATAATCATACTATAGCGTGTAACAAACATTTTAATTTCGAATGATTAAAGTTTAAAATTATGAAGTAAACTCAACATAAATCACAAAATTTTATAATACTATATTTGTAAAGGCTCAATTATAAGATTATGGACTTTTTTATGTCTAATACAATGTATACTGTATTTCTTTTATAATATACAAACTTACAATTTACAAATTTGTTCATTATTAGAATAAATAATAGGAAATTATAATGGAATGTTATTATCTTTACAAAATTTGATAGCTGGTTCATAATTATGATAATTAGCTAATTTCATATAATAAGTAGCTTTGTCAACATTCTTTTCAACAACAACTTTTCCAATTCCACTAACTCCTTCATAGTACAGTTTTCCAGCATTATACATTGCTACCATATAACCATGTTCAGCAGCTTGTTCAAAATATTTGAGAGCTTCTGTTAGATTCTTTTCAACGCCTTCACCTTTATATAAGCAAAATCCATATTTTAGTTTCGCATCAGGAAATTCATTTGCTTTATCATCAGCAACTTCTTTAAATAGTTCAGCAACAATTTTTTCTTTATCAGGAGGACCTTCAACATATTTTTTTGAAATATAATACGCTTTATAATATTTTGCCATAATTTGATTACGGGTTGTCGTATTGGAGTTTGCATACGCTTCGAAACACTTATATGCAGTCTTTATATCTCCGACGAGTTTGCCTTGTTTATCAACCCTTTTATGTTGTTTTGCTGCTTCAGCGAGTGTCATGTAATTAAATGATTCGAAGTCTGGTAGNATTTCTTTGAACTTTAAGATCAAACACGGCTAAGTCTACGGCATGAACTCGTTGCTTTAGTGCATTACAAATTCTTTTATTATATTCAGCTGCTTGTGTTATCTCAATGACTTCATTAAGAATGTTTCTAATTTCGTCAATTAAAGGAAGGAATTTAGTAAACGGAATAGTGAATGGAAAAATTATCATCAGTTCTTAATTATTTTATTATGTATAACAATAAAAAAAAACTTTCGATTAGATTTTTTGAAATGAATCGTTGGAAAAAAAATAATTATAATAATAATAAATCTATCGTACCTTTTACAAATTTCTCTTTGGTTAAATTGTGTCCAATTGACCCAATAGGAATTTCATCCACTTTTTCATTATCAACCTTTAAGTTTTTGTAATCTGAAGATACACTAAAAATGCCTATTTTATAATCATAACTATCAGAAATTACACTTCGAGCCGAATAAACTTTGTTTGATTCATTGACGTTAATAATTGGTTTAATCATTTCAATTCTAATAGAATTATAAGACCAATCTATTAATTTGATGCCTTTATTAGGTTCAAAATTTGTAGAATGTGAATTAAAAAAAATAGTATTTCCTTGAGATAGTGAGAAAGGAGTCACAATACGATAATCTAATAGATTAGGTTGTAATGTAATGGAAAAATAATCAACTTGACAATCCCGATTTTTTGGGCTAAATACTGATAAACTTGAAGGATTTCCAATAATAATCCATATAATATAACATTCTTTTACATTAATATTTGTTTCCGATAATTTGTTTATTATCGCAGAAAATCCGCTATAGTCGTATGATTCAAATGTAACAAAAAATTCATCTAATCTTGAATGACTTTTTTTTGAAATAATTGACCCAAAAACTTCATAATTTTCATCTTCTAACGTAGGATCTATATTTATTCTCTTTTCATTTTCAGTGTCGATATTAAAACCTTTTAAATCAACTAATCCCGTCATAATAATTTTGAAATTATCTTTCGTATTTAAGATATAATCTATTTTTTTCTGTTGTCCTGCTTCAAGGATTTTATATAAAGGGATTACTTTATCAAATTCAATAATTTCTAAATTATCATCCATATTTTGTATCCAGTCAGGTAAATCGCTTATTTTGACAATATTTCCTTTTTTCGGTAAAAAATAAGAAATATTCAATTTTCCTAAGAACGATCTTAAAGGTTCAAATGGTGGTGATCCTAAATCAACCTTTTCGATATTCTCGAAATTAGAAGATAAGGAGGAGTTTGGTAAAGTATTTTTAAGAGATTTCCCCAAGATAATACTTAACGGGAAAAAAAGTCCATACTCATCAAATACATCTTTTAAAAATATAAGTGGTTTCATATCTTCAAGTGCTTGCTCTATAGCTTGTTTAAATTCTTTTGAAGGATTAATGTCATCCTTATTCAATATAATCCTATATTTTTCATATTTCATTATAAAATGTGTATAATCTCCATAATTTGAATTATTAGATCGAATAGCTTTTTTATTAATTGATAAAGAGTTATCTAAAAATATGTTAATAGGTTTAAAGCTTTCTTTCAAATTTGTCGTCAAGTGTATCATTGTTCCATCCTCATGACTTTTACCATCAGATTCGATATTTTTACTAAAGGAGTATATATTATTATTTACAAAAAATTTTTCTAAATTTGTTGTCGGCTTAATAATTTTCAAATAAGATTCATCAATTGAATATATATCAGGAATATTGCCGATATCAATAGAAATTTTCTTGCTATTTTCTAATTCAGAAGAATATTTATTTACTATTAAACCTTGAAGTAGACGAAATTCTTTGATCCATTTCGTTATATTGGCGTATATTGAATCTCCAACCCACTCTTTTAAACTTAATCTTTCTTTAAAATTAGCAATTCCAGGTTGTTTTTCGTCTATTAATGATGTTGTAGTACCAAAACTTAATTTTTTTTCAGTAATAGGGATAAGGTCATTATAAGAAATTATATCAGGCTTATTCATTTGATATAAAGTATTCAACCAATTAGCCAATTTATGAGGTTCGCTTAAGTCCTCTCCATCTGATGTTCTTATTTTTGGGAAAAAATCCAGAGCGGATATATTATTAAACGGATTTTTTTTATCGTATTTGGCTGAATCATATGCTACAGTTAAGAAAGATTTAAACATTTCTTCTTCCGTTGAAGTGGCTCGTTTAAAGCCATCTATAAATATTTTACCACCAGTTAAAACTCTCTTCGCGAATAGATGACCATATGTTTTATACAATGTTCCTTCACCATCATCCATAAAGTTTGAAAATGATTCTGATAATGCAGCGGTATAAGTAATTTCAGCGATAGGAAAATTGATGCATATATCTGATGGTTGTAGAGCTTCGTTAAGTTCAGCCTCATTATCATTAGAATTAAAACTTAATAAATTGTCACAAGAGCTACGGTCATTTATAGAGGTATATACCATGGGTTGTCCTTCGTATAAACTCATATTCAATATACCATCTTCAAAGAGTACGGCTCGCTTACTAGGTTCTATTTTATGCCCATTCAAAAATAATCCATGATTCAGTTTAAGATTTTGAATTATTTGTTGTGATAACATTGGAGTTAAAGTATTAACAATCTCTTCAATTGTTGGTCTTTCGTCCGGATCAGGATTCCAACACTCTATATAAATTAAGAAATAATTAGTTTTATTATTTGGTACGTCCTTTGATTCTTAGTATTTTACGTTTTTTGGTTCATTCTTTGTACCAAATCTATCGTAAAAGTCATTACTTACTTGAATAAAGAACAGAATATCCTTCAGGTGTCCCCTCTACTATTTTTTCTCTTGATCCTTGCGCAATTCTCTCAGCCAAAGACAAATCATATTTTATATCAGCAAAAGGTTTTTTGCCGCTAGACAATTCCCAAAATATCACTCCAATACTATAAATATCACTTTTTTTCAGCTTTTCTATTTGCTTATCCTCTTCTGATGTATTTAAATACCGTGAATTTTCTCCTATAATACCAAATACTTCTGGGCCAATATAAGGAATTGTATCAAATTTATTTAATGAAATTTGACCAGCATCCCTAATACGTCTACTTAACCCAAAGTCCGCCAGTTTAATTGAATTTTGATGGACAAGTATATTATTTGAATGTAAATCTTTATGTGCTATTCCATTTTCATGTAAACAGTTTATTGCACTTGACAATTGAAAGGCTAATCCGTATTTACTTTCCCAATTTAGTGAAAGAAATTTCGCTTCCAAATAATTACGAAGTGTACCTCCTTCTGCATATTCCTTTACTAATAAATATTCTTTATCTAAAAATTTCAAAATCATCTTTTAATATTTTAAAAAATAAAATAAAATAGAATAAAAAAACATTCCGTTTGCAGAACACGCCAGTATGTTATAAGATTGATTTAACTAAATCGTGCTCCGTAGTAACTACAAAAATAAAAATTATCTACCTGAATCGGTTTTAGATATTCCGTAAAATTTTATCATTACATCGTTAATGTTAACTTTATGATATAACTTTATCTAAAAATAGAACAATTATTCTTAATAAGGCACACTTTGATTCATGTTTCTCTCTTCAGATACGTACCTCGTAGATAATTTCTTTAACGTTGTCTAAACTAAACGACTTCAACACTAAACATTTTCCATTTTGTTTCCAGTTCGCTTTATACACTTTACCAGCTAATCCACCGCCTATCTCTTCTATTTTATTAAATTCATCATATTTATAATATCTTAGATTATATTTCTTAACACATTGTTCTAGTGTATCTGTAGTCATGTTGAGTAGAGATATAAGAAAATCTTTTTTTTTTGCGTGAAAGGAACAGATAATTATGTAGTCGTCACCGAACTTGCAATTCCGAAATTAAGCATCTTTTTATATTTATAATTCTGCATAATTCTGGCCAGAAAGCATTTTTTTAGGGGTGTTTAATTCAGGAATGTTATTTATTGGTTTATTTATGGTAACGTAACGTAACANTTTTTTTTTTAAAAAAAAATAAAAATAAAAATAAAAATAAAATAAATAAAATAAAATAAAATAAATAAAAATAAACAAACAAAAAATTATTTACTGTCATGTCTTTTGGTTTTGGAGGTATTTTCAATAAAACTGCTAATAATGTAGGGATAACAGTAGAATATATAGACCAAAAAACATTGCAACCACCTCAATTTATTCAATTAAATCTTTCGGAAAACTTATCAAAAATTCGCCAACGACTCGATGATAGGGGTATTATCAATTCTACATTATCGTTTGTAAGGAAGTATGGTAATAGTAGATTTGCAGAAATAGCGTTTGAGGAAGAAGAGAATATTTCTTTAGTTGAAATTGTGCATAAAAGCGAAGACACTCGTATTCTAAGTTTGACGACATGTTCAAAATTTAATTGGAAGGTTCTGAACCAATTACGTAAATTAGATTATGGATGTACCATGGCTCCTGATGGAATTAAGAAAGCTGACAAAAGAGCATTTGAAATGAAAGATTGTATATTTGAAGAAATTGGTAATGAAGAATGCAAAGCGGGAGAATTTAATTCTAGTTCATGTGAGGAAGAAATGATGGATAAAAATTTATTTTTTAATGCTGATATTAATGTAAAATATTTTGTAAAGTTAGGAATAGGAAAATCATTTAAGACATCAAATAATAAAACATCTCAAGTTAAAACCGATTCCTCTTATAGTTTTATAAAGTATGGTAAAGCGTTATTGAAATTGAACTTTGAGCATTTGGAAGCAACACAGGAATTTATTGAAGTAGTTAAAAAAGCCATAAGTTCTGAAGATCCTGCTGAACAATTTAAGCAAATTGTTAAAGATTTCGGTCAATTTATTCCAACCGAAGTTATTTTAGGTGGAAGAATTCATTATGATGATTTTGCGAAATCAGTTAACCTCTCTACAGAAAAATCCGGTAAAATAAGTGGAAAATTAAGTATAGAAGACCTTAAAATAAAAATGGGAAGAACTTCTACTCATTTAAAAGAAAAATCAAATGATTATAGCTATAAATATACGAAAATTATTGGAGGGAAACAACCTGATGATATTAAAAATTTAGATATAGGAAATTGGGTTGGCTCTTTAAATAATTATAGGCGTTGGGATTGTATAGAATTTCGCAATCCGATTAGTATTTTTCAGTTTTTACCCAAAGATTTACATGAACAAATCATTAAGTCTGTTGGAATAACAATACATCACTCAACCATCGAAACATGTGATCTTGTTTTAGAAGAATATAGAAAACCAATACAATTTAAATTGGAGATACCGACTGACATCAAGAAAATTATTAAAAATGAAGACGTTGATTGTAAAATTCTTGCAACTGTTACGGATATAACGAAATCAAAGAATGATTTTTTTACTTGCCAAGTTCTCTGTCTATCTGATGGAAGGCTACCGAGTCTTATTATCCATCGTGTTCAAAACCCATTTAAAATCTTTAAAAAGCGTGAATGTAAATTAAATATTGGGTGGATGGTAATCGGATATTATAGAGATTTCAATTTTGATTTTAGTACTCGATTAAAGGTTCAGAAAAATGATTTTAAGGCACCAGATACAGATAATCTAATTGAATATGATTCAAAAGTCCCAATTTGTTTAGGAACTCCTGTGTTAAGCGAATATCCTAAAAATGAATCTCTTATTATCGGACATTATTATTATGTTCAAGAAGAGAATAATAAAATTAAGGCATGCCCATTCGCTTATTGTTTAAAGGAACGTCTAGTTGTAAATTTGCCTGAATTTACATTTTATACACTTATAATTACAAATTATCATACCATTAGTGCTTGTGATACAATTATTCTTAAAAAGAAGGAATATAATAGTTTTAAATCAGTTTCTCCAAAATTTGTTAGCATATATTCTACCGAAAAAACTAATTGTCTTTTTTTGAAACAAAGACATGGGCAAGTAAAAATTAAGAAAATTGGTAACGATAAAACAAGACCATTGGTTAAGTGTGCAATATTTGATCCATATACAGGTATTTGTTTTAATATTTTTTTTTTTTAGTTTTCATATAATTGTATTAATGATAAGTTTTTTTTTTTTTTTTAAAAAAGGGAGACATTAGAGTTTAAATTTTCCAGGCAATGAATTAAGATTTACATATTAGTGTAGGATTAGGATAAGTTGGTAAGAATTAATCGTTATTTAAGGGCGTTTAGAGGATAATTTTTTTTTTTTTACGAATTATACCAATCAAGTTTTAATTTACAGTATGTATTTATATGTATTTATTTATTATTATAAATTTAGAATAAATAAAATTTATAACCAATTGGGATCATGGTTATATAGATTATTATTGGCGTACTAGCACAGTAGCACCTGTTGTGTAAATATAGTTGACGTCGGAATTACTTACGTAATAGTGACGGGCGGTAATACATCAAATCACCGTAATACCGTAATTATTTTGATGTCAAATACAAAAATTAAAAAGAATTAAAATTATTTTGGTTACGTCGTAGATAGATAATTTGTTAAATATCTAAATGCCAAATCAATATTCAATTGTAATTCAACTATTCCAACGGTACTATATGTGTTAGTATTATTTAGTTCATATTAATTTGCTTTTCATCATTACCTCTCTAAAAGATTGACGACCCTCTGAAAGCTGAATCAGTTGCCGATTACACGTAATTCTGGCCGGAATTATAAATTTTTTAAATAATTTATTTTGATTAAAAACGTAATGCTGGCCAGAATCACAGGACACATTAATCACGTGCAGTGATGGAGCAGTTGGCGCGGCGTACTTAGCTGTTAGTTTTAAATTTTCGACGCCTGTGCGATATTTCATAATGCGCTCCTATATATATAAAATAAATAAATAACAGTAAGCGCATATGACTTCATAGGTTGCGCACAAAACTTTATGAATAATGTGCGTATGAAAATAGTCTGAATTGCCAACATTGATGCCAATCGGCAAAGCAAGCTCTATGCTTACGAACGGAAAAAACAGTATCGATGTGGCAGTTTATCATAGCATCACTTGCAGACGGTCTAAATTTTCGGTAAGCATGTATATCACCAATCTACTATCATGTTTGGACTTATTGTTTGGTTACATTTATTTTTGTTATTTTATTTGTTTTATATTTGGTTCCACACTTTGTAATTTTGTATATAAAATCTGCAATTTGTTTTCATTTAATTACAATTAATTTATCCAACTATAAATTCTTGTGAAGAATGTTACCAAGGATATAAATGGTGTAATGTATGTAATGCAAAACATATTTTAAAAAATGGACTAGTGGTAATGATAATACAGTATTGATTATCCGGTATCACGTGATTTTTTATAATTGAAAATGATATTCAAATCACGTGATATCAATAAATCACTTATTCGGCGGCTACCTAAAGATATATATCTTAAAAAAATAAATTTTTTAGTATTAAATTTTAATTTATATTAAGTAAATTAATTAAATAAATTCCGTCTATCCCAATTAAATATATTCCCGTCAATCCAATTTATCTTATAAACCTTACCAAATCCGCCTTTTGCAATATATTTAATAGTTATTCGGCACGAAGTGCCGAATAACTGTTATATTGGGTAAATCAAATTTGATTCCCAATATAACAAGCAAAACAAACAATTACATGATTGTTTTAGATTATGCAGATTGTGGAAGTTTACGTAAACATTTAGATACATATTATGATAAATTTAAGTTGGGATAATAAAGTTTATATTTTATGGAATATTTCATATGTCTTAAAGAATTCATGAAAAGAATTTATTGATTTACATAAAAAAGCAAATTAAAGAAGCAGGTAAACAACAATATGACAATATTATAAGTATGAAATATTAAGGTAATTAATAGTATTGCTATATTAAAAATATTTTTATTAAATAGAATCTTTACAAATTGATATTTCTCAATTGAAGAAACAGTAAACGTAATAGAGGTGATGTAGGTAATTATAGCCGATGGAATCTACAGTTGATTAGGGACAACCGGACAAGCAAAGGTCATTAATTTCATTTTATAAAGAATTTGTTTGCTTTTACTATTTCTTTTTATTATTTTTAATAAAATATTATGTATTAGTATATTTCCTATAAAATAATTAAAAAAATAATTTTATGTCGTGATATAAATAAACCCTGCTATTTTTTATATTGGGTGAACTTATTGGTATATATAATAATTACTTTATGTATTTAAACACCCTATTATTTAAGCCCACGCGCAGGAGATAGGCCAAATAAAGTTTTCCCACCTCCTCAGATTGAATAATAAAATTTGCCTAATTATAAATTAGAAATCATAAGTTTTGCTTGTTATTATTTAAACTTCTTTATAATATGGTAAGATTACTACCATAAGAGGAATTTATTAGTCAAAATGCTGTAGATTTAACGCTGTATTATGTAAACCACTTTACCAGTGATGTTTTTAAACTAATGTTAAAGTAAAAGTTTATTTATTCCAATTTTTCCAGGTGTTATTTAGACGAACGATCAGTTTTTTTTTTTGATAATGATAATGAGAGACTGTATTCGGATACGATAAGAGTTCTTTAAAATTGTTTTTATAAGCAACTATTAATTTGATATTTCTTCATGATGCATGATCACAAGAAAATACATTACAATCGTTTAGATAAGTGATATTCTGTGACAGTAAAATCATGTGAAAATTTACTAATTAATAATTACAGATCGTAATTATTATCGTTCTGACTTCACAGTAAGATCATTTAGACTTTTATTGACACAATATTTTACAGATACTGTATATACGGTATATACATAAAAGAAAAAGAGCTTTATATAGAAAGCTACTAGTTAAATATAAGTTTATTTATCAGATTGATCGGTGAGGGCAGAACAATAATAGATTTATTATTTTCTCTACGTACCGCCGCGTACGGTGTCACGTACGGTGTCACGTATCAGGTGATTTTTGCATCGGTACATGTGACCGGAAATTTGCTGCGTCACGTTCGAAAAAATTCCAGGTTCACAGACTGCCGCTATTAGACTATTATATAGTTTAAATTATCCAATAATATATAAATATCATTTCAAATCAGCCTAAGATATTTTATTAAATTTGATATTTCACAAGCCAAGTCGCGATTGAATAATGAGAACTTTTTTCTCATCAGTTTTCCATTGGATTTTAAGTTAGGTAAATTGAGAATTTTTTTTTTTAACATTATGATAATTATTTTACTTAAATACACTTTTTCTTTTATTCTTTGAAGTAATATAGTACTCAGGATAGCATAACTCAATTTAATCTGGAACTTGTTATTTTATTTTTACATTTATTAACGAATAATTTAGAAGAAAAATTGTTTTTCATAAAAAAAGAAAAAATTTTAGAATGGATTTAACGTAATTATTTACTTAAAATTTTATCAAAAAAATTTATTTCAATTACTAAAAAAACATATTTAGTAAAAAGTAAATTTCGGTACCCCCACTTTTTGTTCCTGTTCCTATAATAATCACGTTAAACTTACTAAATTTTGCTGCGCCATTCGTTAAGCCAGTTTATAAAATTTCTCAAGGACGTGACCCCAGTGCTGCAACAGTTTCTAGCAGTTCCTCTGTAGTTGATGAGTAATTGGATGTCCTGATATGTTTTCTGAAAAGTTATAATTATAATTTGCATTGCGACTTCTAAGTGCCATAAATCATTTGTCTAGCAGCATACAATTCAAAAGGACAGTCAATTAATCGTGATTTTATATCTTTGGCGTGTTTCTTCAGTAAGACCCAAGGAGCTATTGTAAGTATCACCTCGATCGCAGTGTAAGGTCATATTTTTCAATTCACCATGTTGATCCTTACGAGTTCTTTACTAATGCGTAGCCCTGAGATTTTGCAAATGTTTGAACATTTTTGAAAAGTTCATCGGGACTTCTATATTCAGCAGGATGTGGTGGAAGTATCTTTCAAGAAATAATATTGAGTGGCGATGCAGTGGTGTTTAATGAAATTTATGAGACTATGTAAATTTTATAGTAATTACAGAAATTTTTTAACACATATATTGGCTAGGGTTTATGTATATTTTTTAACAATTATGGAATTAGATTTGAGCAAGTTTCGGATATTTAAGTAATTTTTTTTTTAGGTTTCAGAGATCACGGAAGTTTGAGCAGGTTTCGGAAGTTTGAGCCATTTGACCTCAAAAGGCGAAATGTTTCTCGCCTGCAACATTAGACGGAAATACATTTAATTAGAATATGATTGGATTGTGGCTCTGAAGAGTTTAAATAATTTAAAAAAAAATGTTACATGGGAATTTATCGGAGATATTACGTTATTACCGTATAGCACTGATTAAAATACCCATGTATAATAAATCAATTTACCCATTTAGAAAATTGAACTATATCCGGGGCGGCTCGGGGGTGTTTGTATCCGGGGTGCTTGTATGGAACATGAACAAATTGCCGAATTCTACCGGAATTTAAAATTTTTTAACCACATATCATACCCGGGTATATTATAATGGGGGTACGCTAAAAAGGGGATCTTTTAGTCAGTACTATACAGTAACTAACTTAATTTGATTAATAAAATTAAAATCAAAAAAAAACGTGTAGACTACATTACATCATACACATTAAAGTCATGAATAACTCAAGATCTAAAAACCAAAATTACATGATTGTTTAGATTATGCAGATTGGGGAAGTTTACGTATTTTATGGAGCATATGGTCTTTAAAAGAATTTATTCATCAAGATTTATTGCTTTTCGGTAATATATTATATTTTATCGAAAATACTTGTATAACTGAAATGCATAATTAATTAGAATATATACATAATGTTTTACCATAATATTGCTCCCGAAATTTTAAGAGGGAGCAAAATTAATAAAATTGTACTAAAGATGATAATTATGTATCATTATCATATAATGATATATGTAAATTTGTTTAGGATTTAGGCTAAGGTTTATTTAATATTGAAGTACTCGATTAATTGTTTATTTAATCAAGGAATGCGTAGACACCTTTGCAAAAACGAATCATATTATATCTCAGCAAAGGTTTTTTTTCAGCCGGAGCCTCTATAATAATTAGAATGTACCATTCTAATTATTCATTGATATTTGAAGCATATTCTGAAAGCAATTTCTCTGACTGTAACATTATCTAAACTAAGACAAAGTATATTCATATCAAGAATTAAAAATTTTATGAATTTGATATTAGATAACGTGATAACATCCAGACATTGGTTTTAATTTTTAGATCGTTAAAAGATTGGTAATGATCTTCATTTATACTATGTATTCTCATATTGTTGAGTGATGATGTACTGACAAGATTTCGGTCAATATTTATTCGATCGACCAATACATTCCACACCTATAACTAATACAATATAATAATTTATATAATACAAAAACTTACAATTTCAAATTTATTAAATTTATTAATTTATTAATAAGTACAATAAAGTAATTAAAACTATAATGGAATGTTATGTTCTTTACAAAATTCGATAGCATATTTATAATCATGATAAATAGCTAATCTCATATAACGAATAGCTTTTTCTTCATTCTTTTCAACACTAACGCCTTCATAATACATTTTTCCAGCATTATATATTGCTACCATATAACCATTTTCAGCAGCTTGTTCAAAATATTTGAGAGCTTCTGGCAGATTCTTTTCAACGCCTTTACCATTATATAAGCAAAATCCATATTTTAGTTTAGCTTCAGGGAATTCATTTGCTTTATCATCAGCAACTTCTTTAAATAATTCAGCAACAATTTTATCTTTATCCGGAGGACCTTCAACAAATCCTTTTGAAATATAATATGCTTTATAATACTTTGCCATAATTTGATTACGAATTGTCGTATTGGAGTTTGCATACGCTTCGAAACACTTATATGCAGTCTTCACATCTCCGAGGAGTATGCCTTGTTTATCCCTTTTATGTTGTTTTGCTGCTTCAGTGAGTGTCATGTAATTAAACGATTCGAAGTCTGGTAATTTTGGAACATGCTTTTGTGATACGTATTTTTTGTCTTGTAAAGGCGTGTGTGAAGGGGTTTCAAAAGATTCAAAACAATTACTAAGAATTTCTAACATTGTCGTAAGCTTTGGTCTAAATTCTGGATCGTGATTAATAGCTAGATAGATATAAAAAAAAAGAATGATTAATAATATATTATGAATTTTTATAAGAAATTTAAATTCAAATTATTTTTATACCATCAAGTGCTAAGTCCTTGAATTTATCCGGCATTTGATTATTTTCAGAAAATGGTTCTCGATATTTATTAAGCACAAGGTTATTTATTTTTATCAAATCATCTAGGTTTTCATATGGAGTTTTTTCCTCTGAAATTTCCCAAAGTAAAATTCCAAAGCTATAAACTTCACATTTATTATTGTATTTGAAGCCTGGGGTCCTCTCCAATATTTCAGGAGCACAATATCGAATCTGTTCTATATTTTGGATTTGATTCATCGTATTTGCCTTATATGAACGGCTTGATTTAAAATTTGTAAGTTTTGCTATGTGATTATGAGTAATCAATACATTCTCAGCCCTAATATCACGATGCAAAATCTAAAAAATAAAATTTCAAAAAAAAATAATTAATTGATAATGAAACGATCAATAAAAATTTATTTATATTTTACCTCTACATTTCTTAAAAAATTTAATCCACGAGCAATATCGAGAGACACGCGTAATTTCAATTTAAGATTAAATAAATCTTTACGGTTTATATAAAATTCACGTAAATTTCCATGTTCGGCCCATTCGGTTACCAAATACCATTTATTTCCATCATTAGTAAGACCGTAAAATTTTATTATATTCTGCCAATCGTGAAGTTCTCTAAGAATTGTAACTTGATTTTGTACGCCACTTTTATCTTTTTCAGATATATTTTTAAATGCATATTCTTCATTTTCATTATTAACATTAACCCACTTAGTCACTTTCAAATAAGTCCCATCCCTACGTGGTTCCTCGTCGGTTTTTATGTAATCAGAGAATACTAGTTGATGTGCTTGGAAAATCTCATCATACTTCAATTGATATGTTTCTAGGTTATTTTCATTTTCCATTTGCTTGTCTAAAAATTCTTCCATGTCGTTGTTCATTTTATTGACTTTTAGAAGCTTTTTCTTATTGTCCTCATTATCAACTCTAATTTCGGCAATTTCAAAATACTAAATAATTTAATAATGTTAGGATTGAACTTGCAAATAATATATAAAATCACTATAGGCTTACGTTATTTAATTCGTCTTGATCGGCCTTTAATGCTTCAGCTTCTTCTTCGGGATGAATTTTGTTTTTAATCGTAGTATTAAATTCTGATGAATTTACACCGATTATACAATTGTCAAAACCTTTACATAATTCTTTGAATATTTTCTCAATATTTTTCGGTTGATTATAATTTGACTTCAATAAAGTTGTCATTTGAGAAATATCTGCTACAAATTCTTCAATTTTCGTAATAACAGCAACTAAATTTTGTAGACATTGATGATTGTTTTCATTAAAATATTCTTTATCATCTCCATGAACTTTAAGATCAAGTATAGCTAAATACACAACATAAACTCGATATTTAAACACTTTACAAATTCGCTTATTATGTTCAGCTGCTTGTGTTATTTTATCAACTTTGTCGAGGAGATCTCTAATTTTAGTAATTAAATCGATCATTTCATGTTTTTTGGGTTTTTTTGCCGATTCATCATGCGTCATATAATTAAATGAAGGTGTATGTGGAGATCTTTCGATAGATTCTAAACAATTACTAAGAATTTCTAACATTGTCGTGAATTTTGGTCTAAATTCTGGGACGTGGTTAACGGCTAAAACAACAAGAAAAAAAGAATGAGCAATGTATTATATATTTTATGGGTAGTTAAAGTGTAAATTATTATTTGCATACCATCAAGTGCTAAATTTTTGAATTCGTCCGGCATTTGATTATTTTCAGAAAATGGTTCCCGATATTTATTAAGCACAAGATTAGTTATTTCTAACAAATCATCCAAATTTTCATATGGAGTTTTTTCCTCTGAAATTTCCCAAAGTAAAATTCCAAAGCTATAAACTTCACATTTATTATTGTATTTGAAGCCTGGGGTCCTCTTCAATATTTCAGGAGCACTATATCGAATCTGTCCTATATTTTGGATTTGATTCATCGTATCTGCCTTATATGAGCGACTTGATTTAAAATTCGTAAGTTTTGCTGTATTATTATGTGTGATCAATACATTCTCAGCTCTAATATCACGATGCAAAATCTAAAAAAAAAATTGAAAAAAACAATTAATTAATTAAATAATGAAACGACCAATAAATTCTTAAACTCCATATTTACCTCTACAGTTCTTAGAAAATTTAACCCACAAGCAATATCAAGAGAAAAACGTAATTTTAATTTAGGGTCAAATGAACCTTTATTGTTTATATAAAATTCGCGTAAATTTCCATGTTCAGCCCATTCAGTTACTAAATACCATTTTTTTCCATCATTAGTAAGACCGTAAAATTTTATTATATTCTGCCAATCGTGAAGTTCTCTAAGAATTGTAACTTGATTTTGTACGCTACTTTTATCTTTTTCAGATATACTTTTGAATGCATACTCTTCATCTTTATTTTTAATACTAACCCATTTAGTCACAGTCCCATCCTTACGTGGTTCCTTGTCAATTTTTATGTAATCAGAGAACATTAATTGATGTGCTTGAAAAATTTCATCAATTTTCGATTGATATTTTTTTTGGTTATATTCATTTTCCATTTGCTTGTCCAAAAGTTTTTCCATCGTACTTTTCATTATACTGATTTTATTGATTTTTAAAATCATTTCTTCTTTGTCTTTGTCATCAACTCCAAATATTTGTCCAAAATACTAAAATCACAGGATAGATTAGTTATAAAATATACGCATAATTTAAAATAATATCAAGCTTACTTTATTTAAATCTTCTTGATCAGCTTTTAAGTGTTGCTCTTCTTCTTCGGGGCGAATTTTATCTTTAATCGTAGTTGTAAAATTTGATGCATCTATTTTGACTATACAAACGTCAAAATCTTCGCATAATTCTTTAAGAGTTTTCTCGATATTTTCTGGTAGATTATATTTAAATTTCAACAAAGTTAACATTTGAGAAATATTTTTCATAAATTCTTTAATATGTGTTATAGTAGTAATTAAATCTTGTAAATATAAGTAATTATTTCCACTAAAATATTCTTGATTATTGTCTCTTTGAACTTTAAGATCAAGCACGGCTAAGTCTACAGCATAAACCCGTTGCTTTAATGCGTTACAAATTCTTTTGTTATATTCAGCTGCTTCCGCAATAATAATGACTTCGTTAAGAATATTTCTAGTTTCGTCAATTAAAGGAAGAAATTTCGCAAATGGGATAGTGAATGGAACAATTATCATCAGTTCTTAATTATTTTATAACGTTGTAATAAAAGATTAGATTTTTAAAATGAATTGTTGAAAAAAAAAATATTAAAGAAAATATATATGTATATATCATACCTTTTTTAAAATTATTTTTAGTTAATTCGAATCCAATTGAATCAAAAGAACATTCCATCTCTTCTTCATTATCAACCTTTAAGTTTCGGTAGTCTGAAGAAACGTTAAAAATATTTATTTTGTAATCATCACTATCAGAAATTACACTTGAAACCGAATTAACCTTTTTCGATTCATTTACGTTAATAATTGGATTAATCATTTCAATTTTAATAGAATTATAAGACCAATCTATTAATCTGATGCCATTTTTAGGTTCAAAATTTGTAGAATATGAATTAATAAATATAGTGTTTCCTTGAGATAATTTGAAAGGAGTTACGACGCGATTGTCTAATTGATAAGGTTGCAATGTAATGGAAAAATAATCAACCTGGCAATCTCGATTTTTTGGGCTAAATACTGATAAATTTGAAGGTTTTCCAATAATAATCCATATAATATAACACTCTTTTATATTAACATTTGTTTCCGATAATTTGTTTATTATTACAGAAAATCCGCTAAAGTCGTATGATTCAAATGTAACAAAAAACTCATCTAACCTTGAACGATTTTTTTTTGAAATAATTGATCCAAAAACTTCATAATTTTCATCTTCTAATGTAGGGTTTATATTTATTCTCTTTTCATTCTCAGCGTCAATATCAAACTCTTTTAAATCAACTAATCCCGTCATAATAACTTTGAAATTATCCTGTGTATTTAAAATATAATCTATTTTTCTCTGTTGTCCTGATTCAAGAATTTCATACAAATGGATTACCTTATCAAATTCAATGATTTCCAAATTATTATTTGTGTTTTGTATCCAGCTAGTTAAATCACTTATTTTAATAATATTCCCATTTTTTGGTAAAAGATACGAAATGTTCAATGTTTCCAAGCACGATATTAAAGATTCGAATGGTGGCGATCCTATATCAACCTTTTCAATATTTTCGAAAGTAAAAGATAAGGAGGAGCTTGGTAAAATATTTTTAAGAGATTTCCCCAAGATAATGTTTAATGGAACAAAATGCCCATACTCATCAAATACATTTTTTAGAAGTATAAGTGGTTTCATATCTTCGAGTGTATTTTCTATAGCTTGTCTAAATTCTTCTGAAGGTTTGATATTATCCTTATTCAATAAAATTTTAAATTTTTCACAATTTATTATAAAATATGTATTATCTCCGTAATTCGAATCATTAACTCGAATAGCTCTTTTGTTAATTGTAAAAGAGTACATATTACTAGGTATTAAAATTTTCTTTGAATTTGTCGTCAGGTTTATCATCATATCCTCAAAACTTTTACTATCAGATTCATCAGATTCGATAAGTTTACTAAGAGAGTACATATTATTAGTTATTAAAAATTCTTCTAAATCTGTTGTCGGCTTCATAATTTTCAAATAAGATTCATCATTTGAATGAACATCAGGAATATTGATGATATTAATTGCAATTTTATTGCTGCTTTCTAATTCAAAATATTTATTGACTATTAAACCTTGAAGCAGACGAAATTCTTTGATCCATTTCGTTAAATTTACGTATATTGAATCACGAACCCACTCTTTTAAACTATATCTCCCTTTAAAATTAGCAATTTCGGGTTGTTTTTCGTCTATTGATGATTGCGATGTAGTACTGGATCTTAATTCAGAAATAGGAATAAGATCATTATAAGAAATTATAACAGTCATATTCTTTTGATATAAGTTATCCATCCAATTAGTTAATTTGTCGAGAGTATTTAAATTTTCTTTATCTGATGTCCTTATATTTGGAAAAAAATCCGGGAAGGATATATTATCAAATGGAATTTTTTTATCATACTTAGATGAATCATACGCCCAAGTTATGAGAGATTTAAACATGTCAATTTGGTCTGAAGTGGCCGAGTTAAAATCATCAATAAATAATTTTCCACCAACTAAAACTTTACGTGCATATAGATGTCCATATGTTTCACACGATTTTCCTACATTATCATTAACATCAAAGTTTGAAAAAGATTCTAATAAATCAGCAATATAAGTAATTTCGGCAACAGGAAAATTAATACATATATCAGATGGTTGTAGAGATTCGTCGAGTTCAACTTCATTATCTTCGCAATTAAACCTCAATAAATTTTCGCGAGAATTGCTATCGTTTACAGAAGTATACACTAGAGGTTGTCCTTTATATAAACTTATATTCAATTCTCCATCTCCAGCAAGTACAGCTTGCTTACTGGGTTCTATTTTATGCCCATTCAAGAACAATCCATGATTCAACTTAAATTTTTGAATTATTTGTTGTGACATCATTGATTTTAAAGTTAAAACAACCTCTTTAATGGTTGGCCTTTTGTCTATGTCATAATCCCAACATCCTGTATAAATTAAAAAATATATATATTATTATTTTGTCGATACATCTTTTGTTCGTTTGTTAGTATTTAAGGTAATGCATTTTCATAAAATTTTTATTTACTTGAATAAAGATCAGAATATGCTTTAGGTGTCCCCTCTACTATTTCTTCTCTTAATCCTTGAGCAATTTTCTCGGCCAAAAATGAATCATATTTTGTATCGGCGAAAGGTTTTAATCCGCTAGACAATTCCCATAATAATACCCCAATACTATAAATATCACATCTTTTTAGCCTTTCTAACAGCTTATCCTCTCCTGATGAATTTATGCCTTCAAAATTTTCTTCTGTAATACCAAATAATTCTGGACCAATATAAGGGATTGTTTCAAATGAATTTAATGGAATATGACTATCATCCTTAATAAGTCTGCTTAATCCAAAATCCGCAAATTTAATTAAATTTTGATGAATAAGAATATTATTTGAATGCAAATCTTTATGTACTATACCGTTTTCATGTAACAACTTTATTGCACTTGACAATTGAAGGGCTAATTCGTATTTATTCCCCCAGTCTAACAAGTTAAAATTCTCTTTCAAATAATTACGAAGTGTACCTCCGTCTGCATATTCCTTTACCAAAAAATATTCTTTATCTAAATATTTCAAAAATTAATTTCAATAATCAGAAAATAATAATAATAAAAAAAAATTAACAGGCATATTGTATTATTGCTGTCTCTTATACACATCTAGATGTGTATAAGAGACAGGTGTACCTCCGTCTGCATATTCCTTTACCAAAAAATATTCTTTATCTAAATATTTCAAAAATTAATTTCAATAATCAGAAAATAATAATAATAAAAAAAAATTAACAGGCATATTGTATTATTGATTATAATTATAATGAAACATAATCATCGTGTAGTGTAGAAAAATATATATATTTACCTAAATCGGTTTTAGTTATTCCATAAAATTTTATCATCATATCGTCAAAGATAACTTTTTCATATAATTTTATCTTAAAAATAGATCAATTTTCTTAGTATAGAAAACTTTGATTCACATCTACCTCTTCAGACACGTACCTCGTAGATAATTTCTTTAACATTGTTTAAACTAAATGACTTTAATACTAAACATTTTCCATTTTGTTTCCAATTTGCTTTATACACTTTACCAACTAATCCACCACCTATCTCCTCTATATTATTAAATTCATCATATTTATAATATTTTAAATCGTGTTTCTTAATATATTGTTCTAGCGTATAAGTAGACATATTGAGTAGAATATGGGGGNAATTCATCATATTTATAATATTTTAAATCGTGTTTCTTAATATATTGTTCTAGCGTATAAGTAGACATATTGAGTTTTTTTTTTTTTTTTTTTTTGACCATTAAAAATTATTGTATCACGGGGTTCCTTAATGTATAACGTACGAACTGGCCGGAATTAACGTTAGCGCTATCACGTGCACCCTCCTAAACTCGGGCCAGTTCGTATGTTAATATCGGACGCCCATTGTCACATCCGAAGTTCTCGAGCGAATATAATTCTGGTCAAAATTTAACATAATTCTGGTCGGAGGGCGTTCTTAATTTAGAAAAAAAAAACTAGTTTATTTATGGTAAGATCATTACTTTGTGCTCTTTGTGTTCGCTTTTAATACGTAATACATGTAATACATAAAAGTTGTTTAAGGACAAAAATTTTTTTTTTTTATAAAAAAATTTGTCAGTCATGTCTATAAACCTTGGAGGTTTATTTTCTAAAAATGATAAGAATATAACATTAAAAATTATAAACTCACAAAAATCTGCATGTGAAGTTCATTTGAATCTTTATGATAATCTATTAGAAGTTCGTCAATACCTCGAAAATCATGATATTATCGACGATACATTGTCGTTTGTAAGGAATTATTCTGAAAATAATGATAGTAAGATTGAATTTTCCGAGATACCTGTAAAATTTGAAGAAAATTTTCGCTTACATCAAATTGTGCGTAAAAGTGAAGATGCTTATATTTTATATATGACATGTTCAAAAATTTGGAAGTTTATAAACGATTTACGTAAATTAGATTATGGGTGTACCATGACTTCCAACGGAATTAAGAAAGCTAGTAAAAGAGCATTTGAAGCGAAAAATTGTAAATTGGAAATTGGTAATGGAAAATGCGAAGAGGGAAAATTTAAATCTGAGTCAAGTGAGGATTTGATGATGGATAAAAATTTATTTTTTTATGCTGATATTAATGTGGAGTATTTTGTAAAGTTGGGAATAGGAATGTCAATTGGAGTATTAAAAAATAAAGAATCTCTTGTTGAAACCAATTACTCTTATCGTTTTACGAAGTATGGCAAAGCGTCATTGAAACTTGAGCATTTAGAAGCAACTCCGGAATTTATTAAAGTAGTAGAAAATGCCATAGAATCTGAAGATCCTGAAGAATTTAAGCAAATTATTGAAGATTACGGTCAATTTATTCCAACTGATGTTATTTTAGGTGGAAGAGTTCATTATGATGATTTTGCGGAGTCGGTTAAACACTCTGCAGGAAATTCTAATAAAATTATCGGAAAGATGAATATACAAATCCTGAAAGCAAAAATAGGAAAAGCTTCTACTACTTCACAAGGAAGGTCAAACAGTTGTAGCTACAAATATACCAAAGTAATTGGAGGGAAACAACCCGAGAATATTGGAAATCTAAATAGAGGGGATTGGGTTAGTTCTTTAGATAATTATGAATATTGGGATTGTATAGAATTTCGCAATCCAATTAGTATTTTTCAGCTTTTGTCTGAAAATTTACGTAAACGAATCATTAAGTCGGTTGGAATGAAAATTCATCATTTAGATACTGAAAATCATAATTGTGTTTTAGAAGGATTTAGAAAACCAATACGATTTAGTTTGAATATACCAAATAAAGTCGCAAAAATTATTAAAAACGAAGATATAGATTTTAAAATTATTGCAACCGTTACGGATACAACGAAATCAAAGAATGACTTTTTCACTTGTCAAGTTCTTTGTCCATCAAATGGAAGGCTACCGAGTCTTGTAATCCATTGTGTTCAAAAAACGTTCAAAAAGCGTTATAAGTTAGAAATCGGATGGATGGTAATCGGATATTATACAGATTTCAATTTTAATTTTAATACTCAAATAAATATTTTGGAAAATGATTTTAACACACCAGATAAAAGTAATCTAATTGAATATGACTCAAAAGTTCCAATTTGTTTGGGAATTCCCGTGTTAAGCGAATATCCTACAAATGAATCTATTATTATTGGATATTATTATTATGTTCAAGAAGAAAATAATGAGTATAATAAAATTAGAGCATGCACGTTCGCTTATTGCTTAGAAGGTAATCGCCTTGTAGAGTTGCCTAAATTTACATTTTATACACTCAAAATTACAAATTATCATATTCACAGTGCTTGCAATACAATTCCTCTTGAAGAAACCAAATATAATAATTTCAATACTAAATCTCCAAAATTTGTTAGCATATACTCTAAAGAACAAACTAATTGTGTTTTTTTAAAACAAAGAAATGGACAGATTAGAATTAAGAATATCGGTAACAGTATTGATAAAACGAAATTATCAGTTAAGTGTGCATTCTTTGATCCGTTTATCAGGTATTTGTTATATTATCTTTTTTTTAGTTTTCATTTTTTATATAATTATATTAATAATAAGTAATTTTTTTTATTTTAAAAAAAAGAAATGGAGACTTATGGTAAAGGGATCCAAAATTATCGGATATTTTATGATTAGTAATGTTGCTTTCTCTGTAAATAAAATTATTAATTAGAATGATATGAAAGTTCTAACAAGTGTAGAATTAAAAATAAGCTAAGTAGCTATAGGGATTGAATTATCGTTATTATAGTACGTTTAAGAGTATTAAAAAAAGATTTTCTTTTTTTTACGATAATTTATTGGTAAACAAGGTAACAAGGTTTTTGATTATAGTATTTATTTATTATTGTGTATTTAAGAAAATAAAATAAAAAATTTATATCCAATAAGTCTAAAAAATGGTTTGAATGCTTATAAATTATAATACTGTATAAATAATGGTCAATAAGCCTGATCGATCAGAGGTGGAGTTTTTTTACAAAGTAGCAGTGATTTTTTGTAATCAGTGATATTCTTCAGATTGGATGGTTCATATTAATTATTCATCACTTGTGGTAATATTTTGAATTCATCCTGATCAAGATTAAAGGATAATCGGATAAAAAGCGGTTAGAGTTGGATGTAAGTCTAATACGATCGCTTCATTTTTTAAACTGAGACCAGATCGGGTTTACGCATATATATTGCTTTATTGGACAGTAAAAAAGAATAATTAATCTTATGTATCTTACGGAAATTTAAATATAATTTTTCTATCAAGCACAAGTCTAGTTATTTCTACAAAATCATCCAGATTTCATATGGAGTTTTTTCTTCTGAAATTTTCCAAAGTAAAATTCCAAAGCTATAAACTTCACATTTGTTATTGTATTTGAAGCCTGGGGTCCTCTTCAATATTTCAGGAGCACTATATCGAATCTGTCCTATATTTTAGATTTGATTCACCGTGTCTGCCTTATATGAGCGACTAAATTTAAAATTCATAAGTTTTGCTATATTATCAAGTGTGATTAATACATTCTCAGCTCTGATATCACGATGCAAAATTTAGAATTAAAAGAATCAAAAAAAAATCAAACAATGAAGCGATCAAAAGAACTTAAAGACTTTATACTTTACAGTTATTGGGAAATTTAACCCACGAGCAATATCAAGAGAAATACGTAATTTTTGCTTAGGAACAAAAGAATTTTCATTATTTGTATAAAATTCACGTAAATTTCCATGTTTAGCCCATTCTACCATTTATTTTCATAATTAGTAAATTGTTACTATATTCTGCCAATCGTAAAGTTTTCTAAGAATTATTTGATTTTGTACGTTAATTTGTCTTCGCATATTCTTCTTTATTTTTTACACTAACCCATTTAATCACAATCTCATCCTTACGTGGTTTCTTGTCAGTTTTTTTGTAATCAAAAAATATTAATTGATGTGCTTGAAAAATTTCATCAATTTTCGATTGATGGTTATACTCATTTTATTCAAAAATTTTTCCATCGTACTTTTTAATTATATTAATTTTTATTGATTTTTAATTCACTTCTTCTTTGTCTTTGTCGTCAACTCCCACTATTTGTTCAAATACTAAAATTACAGGGATAATTAATTTTAAGTTATATTCATAATGTAAAATAATGTTAAGCTTACTTTATTTAAATCTTCTTTATCGGCTTTTAAGTGTTGTTGTTCTTCTTCGGGACGAATTTTATCCTTAATTCGATGTATCTATTTTGATTATACAAACTTCAAAATTTCCGCATAATTTTCTCTAAATTTTCTGGTAGTATATATCTTAATTTTAACAGATAATAGTAATTAAATCTTGCAAGTGTAGATAATTATTTCCGTTAAAAATATTCTTGATTATTTCTTTGAACTTTAAGATCAAACACGGCTGAGTCTACAGCATGAACTCGTTGCATTAATGCGTTACAAATTCTTCCATTATATTCAGCTGCTTGCGCTATCTCAATGACCTCATTAAAAATATTTCTAATTTCGTCAATTAAAGAAAGAAATTTCGTAAATGGGATAATTATCATCAGTTCTATTATGTTTAAGAAATTCATAATTAAATGTTGGAAATGAATCGTTGGAAATAAAATATTAATAATAAATTTATAGTACCTCACCTTTACAAATTTTTTTTTATTTCTCAAACTCTTCTTAGGTTCTTTTTCATTTGTATTCATTTATTATAATATATTTGATGAATCATCAATATTTAAGGTATCGTCATCATTTGGATTAAATTCTTGTTTATCTATTTTGATAATTGATTTTCCGCTTTCATTGACGATATTATGTGATTTCTTTTTCTTTTAATCTTTTCACTACTTCATCGATAGTTGGACGGTTATCTGGATCACCATCCCAACATACAAATATAAATCAATTTTGATAAATCAGATAAAATATTCATAAACAATATATCTTGTATTGGACTTACCGGTGTAAATTTTAACATAATCTTCAGATGTATCAGGCACAGGTTTTTCTCTGACCTTGCAAGATTTTTGCAACTAAAGAAATATCATATTCTCCACCTTCAGTACAAAAAGGAGGCTGTCCGCTAGATATCTTCCATAATAATACACCGGTGCTGTAAATGTCGCTTTTTTTATTTAAAGAGCTCTTCTTTTGACTATCGAATTTATTGGATAAATAACTCCAAATAATTTCGATTGTTTAGATGGAGCAGATAATGAATCTATTCTTTTTGACAAACCAAAATCAGCCAGCTTTATAGTATCTCGATGAACTAACACATTGCCAGAGTGCTAATATATCAAATAATGAATAATGTTTATTAAAATTGAGTAAATCAAGTCAAGAAAAAAAATTTACCAAATCACAATTCATTATGTAATCACGATATATCAAAGGATAATTGGTATTCCAATCTATATTTATCGTTCCAAGTAAGGTTTTCAAATAATTTTTAATAGTACCACTATCAGCATATATGATACCATAACTAGCATATAATTTTTCACAAGGCCATTTTGGTTCTATGATAATAAAAAGTATAAATTCTTTTACATTGTTGCCAGTCAAACAATATATTAATTGTTTTAACCATTATAGCCTTTCATTCCAGAAAAATTTGCTTTTACTATGCGACGTGGCGCCATTGAATTTCCACCCCGCATTCAACGTTGAACGAACTCATGCATATCCTCCTGCCCTTTATGAAATAAATCAAGCTTGAATTTGGTCATCTTTTTTACCATGTCAAATGCGAATGATGGCAATGTTATATAGTTCAAAGAGTCTAGTCCGGATACTTCCTTCATTATCGTTCGGAATCGCTGAATTGGGTCCGCTAATATTAAAACATTTGCTTCCTCCCATACTCTTTGCGCATGGTCATATTGCTTTTGACTAATGATGGTGTAAATTCTTTCGTGTTCACAATCATCAATTTCTTTTAAATCCTCTTCTTTACATTTTTCATTGCACTTTTTACTCTTTATTTCGTATTTACACATTGGTCGCAATAATTTAGTCTACCTAGCACTGTGTTAAATTCTTTTCTTGATGGGAGCTTTGCCCTAGAGAAGCGCTCTGGATCGTTTATTAATTCATAAGTGAACCCAGATATGCTTTGCGCCATAATCGGAAAACATTTAGCTAACTGCTCTGGTGTCTTTTCTTGTCTACGCAAGTTACTTGCTACTTTTTCTAGCGATGGGAACTGGAATCGACAGGAATCTATAGATTTGATCTGGTTAATTATTATCGTCTTATAGTTCTCCATGTTGCCCGCAATTATTTTGATTTTATCTTCACTAACTAGGCCTAATTCAAGTATTTCATGATGAAAGCCATAATGCTTTCCACCATGATATATCAATGGGATCTTAATTTCGTCTGGTTTTATCCGGAGCTGGAGATTACAACCACGATGCGGTCGATGCGCCGCGCCACGATATTTCCCGGTGAAATGGTCATGATCTCTAACCTTGTTTTTATTTGTTTCGGCTTGAAGTTTTCTTTTACGTATACAGCATTCGGACGCTGTTTTGAATGGTTTTTCCTCTTCTATACTTAAGCCTTCTTTCTGTACGATACATAGCCTCCGCTTCTGTGGCATCACATGGCATTTGATTTTAACACAGCCATAATGTTGCTGAACCTAGGAATTTTCTGACGGTATCGAAATATTTTACCTTATTAAATCGGGTTTCGTGTAGAAACCCTTCACATATATAGCATTTTCTGGCAGAGTTATGTGACCGCCAATCACATTATTTTTACCGGATTGCGCAACTTTGGCTTGATGATTTCCTCCAAATCTCGTTGCATACTTTCCCTTGACTCTGCAATTGAGCTTAGAGTTCGCCTAAAAATTACTTTTGCAAGCTCTCCGTCCGTTTGGGTCAAAGCATAACCGTAACTAAAAACCTGGACACGCGTGTCCGGGCGAAGTAATGTGGCGCAGCCTTTTTTTCTTCGTATAGCTCAAAAAAATATTCTACCATTAACGGGTTCAGAAAAAAAGGTTTGAAATATTACATTTAGCAGTGATCACTAACGCATGCAGAACACACTTTAAAATAAAACCCGGTGTGGAAAATGCTTTATTAATGTATGTTTTGCAATACACATGTAAGAAATACTATTTTTTTCTGGTGGTAGAATCTGGACACGCTGTCCGGGCTCGTCAAAATTGTGCAGAAGGATATATTAATCATATGACGCAGTAATAACACTAATCCCTCATCTTCTTCATGTTCTTCATCATTGTCTTCCACATCATCATCTTCATCATTTTCTGTTAATTGATTAAGGAGAACATTAAAGCCAATACGAACATCATATCCAATATCTAGATATTGATTCCAACTTATTTTGTACCAACGAACTGCATTGTAATTAACACGGGAAGGCCAGTAACCAATATACGGACCTCGATGTGGGCGAACATTTAATGGAGCTCCTACTGGTACGGAAGTTGCTTTAGGGTTTGTATTATCCGGATGAGGTGTTGTGCCAGGGGCAAGAGCTACTATAAGAAATTCGGTTCTTGCACAATGGGGTTTAGCGAGTCGAATATTTTTTTTTTTTTTTNATTATTTATTTTGGTATCTGGACTTTTCGCCGATATCCATTTCGCCGATGGGATTTTTCGCCGGAGGGATGTTTCGCCGAAGGGACGTTTCGCCGATCTTTATTAAATTTATCTCATTGTTTATAATACATTAATCTTTTTTTTACTTACTTTTTCGTGAATAAATGTTTTCAGGAAATAAAGTTATTTTTTTTTTTTTTTTGATAAACGCATTT